GGCCACACTTATTCATGGTCTGAAGAGACTTAGTCAAAGACCTATATCTCAGGAAAGTGTAAACCTAGTTCTAAGTGGTAATCACCACACCTAACACTTGATAGAAAGTTATACTTCATTTAAGCCTCAGCTCCTTATCATTCAATCCTGACCAAGTTGCATATAAACTAATTCACAGGAAGGAAGCCTCAACCAAACTAAGCTGAAGTAATACAAAAGAGAAAGATCAACATTCAGAGGTGACTTACAGATGTTATCTACACTTAGATTTTCTCCCCTGAGCCACAGGCTAGGTTGTAACTTCAGAAAAAAACTAAAATCAAAGTGCTCAGCACTTTCAACGCTCTGGACAATGGCGACATAGGAATACTGCGCTTGCCCATCTCAAACATGCTGATGGCACAGACAATGTGCGCATACTTTAGTGAGCTCGCTCACTTCCAGCTGCAGCTCATTCGTGACTCCTTCCTTGTAAATGACAAATTCTGTACATAGCCTGTCACCTTTGGCTTTCCACTCAGTTTATTCTGAGTTATGCATATATTTCCTTACCATCCTTGCAGGCATACCACGTGGACAGGGGATAAAACTTTATTTAAATACTAAGTGAAACCAAAAAATCAGGAAAATAATTTGGTGGGGAGAAAAAACACATCATGTTCTTCAAAAACCTGATCTTGTGCTGCGGCTGCTTTCCTCAGGCACAAATCAAACAGTAGGTTCTCTCTCCCAGTCGCTGAAAACCTGCCTAACTGCCTGAGCGAGTTAGCTGGACCTAAACTAATTAGAGACTAATGAAGACTGTAGTTCACTGCGGATGACAACCACTGAAGTTTATACAGTGCAGAATGTTTACAGTTCTATTTATAAGAAACACTGAAAAAAAAAAAAAAAAAGAAACACTGACAGGTGAGAAACCGGATTCCTGGCCTCAGGGGTTTACAAACTAAAGAGAAAGCAGAGGGAGATAAAACAAACCCAAACCTCCAGATTAGGAAATAAATTTGGGCTATGTCACTGATTAAAGGTGACACTAAAAATGAATCTTCTCACAAAGCAAATAAAAGTTTTGCTAACAGTGAACGGAGACGTTCCAAACAGTACAGAGATTAAGTTGGATTTATACTGTTTGTCCTAATAAGAAAAAATATACAGGGGTTTTCAATGAGAATTATTTCTTACTTTAAATCATTCGTAGTTGACAACAGACCTAAAAAACAAACACAAAAGGTACATAAAAAGAAGGTACCCTTTTTAAAGAAGAAACATGATGATGTGAAATAATTAGATGGCTAGAAACAGACCATTCAGTGAAAGACATCTGGGGTAAAAGCTCTGGGAAGAAGGATGATATTTATGTTACTTATTTTTAAGATTTTTTTTTTTTAATGTGGACCATTTTTAAAGTCTTTATTGAATTTGTTACAATATTGCGTCTGTTGTTTATGTTCCAGGTTTTTTTTTTTTTTGGCTGGGAGGCAGGTGGGAGCTTAGCTCCAGACCAACCGGATCCCCCTCTAGGCATTGGAAGGCTAAGTCTTAACCACTTGACTGCCACCGAGGCCCCTAATGCTATTTTAGACAAGCTGTACTGTTTGTTGGGCTCTAGGTTTTACACATAAAAATAAGTATTAAGGAAACAAAATGTTCAATTAATACTTTCCTTCTATGATGGAACTATGACACATAGGGTTTATATCAACTTAGTCATCTTTCTAAATAATCTACTTCTTCTATTACTATGAGCTTTATTGTTGTTTAGATGCAAAGTCATGTCCAACTCTTTTGTAAGCCCATGAACTATAGCCTGCCAGGCGTCTCTGCCCAAGGGATTTCCCAGGCAAAAATACTGGAGTGGGTTGCCATTTCCTTCTCCAGAGAAACTTCTGGACCCAGGGGCTGAGCCTACCTCTCTGGCATTGGCAGATGGATTCTTTACCTTTGAGCCACCTGGGGAGCCCAAGCGCTTTATTTGTTGATGTTCAGTCGCCAAGCTGTGTCCAACTCTTTGTGACCACATGGACTGCAGCACACCAGCTTTCCCTGCTCTTCACCATTTCCCAGAGTTTGCTCAAACTCATGTCCGCTGAGTTGGTGATGCTATCCAGCCATCTCATCTTCAGCAGCCCTCTTTTCCTGCCTCTGACCTTTCCCGGCATCAGGGTCTTTTCCAATAAGTTGTTTCTCCGCACCAGGTGGCCAAAGTATGGGAGTCTCAGCTTCAGCATCAGTCCTTCCAGTGAATATTCAGGGTTGATTTCCTTTAGGATTGACTGGTTTGATCTACTTGTTGTCCAAGAGAGTCTCAAGAATCTTCTCCAGCACCACAATTAAAAAGCATCAGTTCTTTGGTACTCGGCCTTCTTTATGGTCCAACTCTTACATCTGTGATGACTACTAGAAAAAAACATAGCTTTGACTATACAGACCTTTGTTGACAAAGTGATGTCTCTGCTTTTTAATACGTTGTCTAGGTTTGTCACAGCTTTCCTTCCAAGGAGCAAGTGTCTTTTAATTTCATGGCTGTAGTCACCATCTGCAGTGATTTTGGAGCCCAAGAAAATGAAACTTATTGCTGTTTCCATTTTATCCCCTTGTATTTGTTATGAAGTGATAGGACCAGATGCCAAGATCTTCATTTTTTTCATGTTGAATTTTAAGCCAGCTTTTTCACTCTCCTCTATCACCCTTAAGAGGCCTTTAAGTTCCTCTTTGCCTTCTGCCATTAGAGGTGGTATAATCTACATATCTGAGGCTGTTGATATTTCTCCTGGCAATTTTGATTCCAGCTTGTGAGTCATCCAGCCCAACATTTTACATGATGTACTCTGCACAGAAGTTAAATAACCAGGGTGACAATATACAGACTCGAGGCACTCCTTATCCAGTTTGGAAACAAGTCCATTGTTTGATGTCCGGTTCTGTTATTTCTTGATCTGCATGTAGGTTTCTCAGGAAACAAGTAAGGTGGTCTGATACTCCGATCTCTTTAAGAATTTACCACAGTTTGTTGTGATCCACACAGTCAAAGGCTTGAGCATAATCAATGAAGCAGCAGATGTTTTTCCAAAATTCCCTTGCTTTGTCTATGATCCAATGGATGTTAGCGATTTGATCTCTGGTTCCTCTGCGTTTTCTAAACCCAGCTGGTACACCTGGAAGTTCTAAGTTCACATAGTACTGAAGCCTAGCTTGAAGGATTTTGAGCATAACCTTGCTAGAATATGAAGATAAGGATAGCTGTGGTCTATTTGCCAACCACTTGCTTTTTTCTTTTCTTTCACTTTTTTTTTTTTTTTAACGTTATTTATTTGGTCAGGCCTCTTGGCTTGTGGGATCTTAGTTCTCCAACCAGAGATTGAACTCAGGTCCTCAGCAGTAAAAGCTCAGAGGCCTAACCCCTGGACCACCAGGGAATTCCCTCCTTTTTCTTTACTTTAAAGCCCTCCATTTTCCTGGAATCCTTAATTCTAAATCTATTTTTGTAATAATGCTACTGCAGTTCTGCACATACTGAAAGAAATGCCCACTCCTTCCCCCACCTCCATTTGTGAAATCTACACTTAAAACTACTCATTTGGACAACGATAATATCAATATTCAGGGTTACTGCTCTGCAGTTTACAAAAGGCTATTTCATAGGTCGATACTTCATTACCACCACTTTTCACTCCTATGAGGAAGGCAGCACTATCTCTCATTATTATAATGAGTAACTGAGATTCTTTTCTTGCCACATGGACGACATGAATTTGTACTTATAAGAAGTATAAAAATGAACACTAGTACCATAGCTTCTAAATAGCTGAGATACTACAAAGCACAGCCATTATTTAATATTGACATTTTAACAACACTTAAGGCAGAGAAGCAGTTCCACCAAAGCTCTGGAAGCAAAAGTTACACACTTCTTGGAAAGAACCATGAAAATATCTTTTTAGTTTTGATGTGGTGTCACTCTACTTATCTTCCTGAATATTTGATGATTTTTGAGCAAAATTTATCATCATCATTAATAAAGATTTAGAAACAAGGAAAATAGTCTATTAGGATAGCTCCAAGTTCTAGCACAGATGAGGCTTCTGTGGCTATTTGATTTTCTCTTCTTTCCTGAAAGTTCATTTCTAGATTTAAGAAACGCCACTTGTAGACAGACCTTCCTTAAAAAAAGTAAATGCAGGTTTAGGAAAACCTAAGGAGAGTTATTCATACATACTTGCTAATATAAAATATTAAATTTTAAAATCCATATTATTAGGTTTCTTGATGTTTAAGACTGCTAACAGATAGAAATAAGAGTAACACAAGCCAATGGATAAAGACAAATCATGAAACTGTGTATCTGCTCTATTATAACGCTTTTTTTTTTTCTGGTCAGTCAAATGAAACTAATTTGGGGGTCCTACCTAGAGATGAAGTTGGCTTCCCTGATAGCTCAGTTGGGAAAGAATCCGCCTGCAATGCAGGAGACCCGGGTTTGATTCCTGGGCTGGGAAGACCTCCTGGAGAAGGGATAGGCTCCCCACTCCAGTATTCTTGGGCTTCCCTTGTGGCTCAGCTGGTAAAGAATCCACCTGCAATTCGGGAGACCAAGGTTCAATCCCTGGGGTTGGGAAGATACCCTGGAGAAGAGAAAGGCTACCCACTCCAGTATTCTGGCCTGGAGAATTTCATGGACTGTATAGTCCTTGGGATCACGGAGAGTCGGACATGACTGAGTGACTTTGACTTCACTTCACTTCAGAGATGAAATATCCCAAAATGAAGAGGGACTGGGCAATCAGTACTATGAACAAAGGAAGACAGATACGTTGAGGAACGGAAGACTGGGAGAAGAATGCAGAGCCATCTCGAAGCATCTGAAGACACTGCAGGGAATGTTAAATTATTGTCCATTTTCAATAAGAAAACAATGAGCTTCTGAGGAGGCACTCAGAAGACAGCCCAGTGAGGCAGGGAGGCCTGCGGCGGCACGACAGCCAAGTTCCACGCTGGGGGTAATCAACAGCGGGCAGCAGGCCCGCACACAGGCATGCAGAATAGGGACTGTGCCGCTCACCACGGGAGAGGAAGTGGCTCCCTAAGTCAACACCTGACCCTGCCACTTTATGACAGAGCGTCTCGGGCAACAAACGATCACTGCTGTTCCTTGAAGACCGAGGCACTGTCAACTGGATGGTCTAAAGGAAAGAAGGGTCAGGAGCAGAGCCGTCACCGTGCCTCTAGCGTCCTACTACAATCTGAAAAAGCAGGTAACTGGGCAAGGGCGGATTGTGCATTGAAACAGAACAATGCTGTAAGTAACTCAATACCTGTACTAGTAAAGCTCTTTACATTTTTAAAAATAAGAGCATTTAAAGCTCAACTGGAAAAAAAGACATTGGAACCTAATACTAAGGAACAGAGTCTACATAGATTTTTCAAGTAGCAAATAGTATTTCTAGGATAACGAGATGGTCTGGTGGGTCTCTGTAATGCTGAAATTCCATGAAGAATTTTCAATGTCAGTTTTCTAACTGAAATGATTAAATTTTAACATTGCTACTCATTTAAAACAAAGGCCGCAATAAGAACAGCAAGAACCATGTTACACCTCATCCAATTATTAGTGGATTACTTTCAAGGATAATTCAGACAGAATCATACCAACAAATAGTCACTCAAAACTGAAGCACGACTAACTCTACTTTCAAAATTCACAGTATATCCATGAGTAATCAAAAATATCTTATCATGAGTACACTTGCCTCAACTAGCAACTAAGGGCCTGTGTACAGAAAGCAAAAAAAACATGGGAATACACAAAGGCTTAAGGAGTAGGGTCATGTGTAGAAAAACCAGAATCCAACACGGTTTATCAGAGTTTACTGAAACTTGAAAACTGTCAGGGGACTTCCTTGGTGGTCCAGTGGTCAAGACTCTGCCCTTCCAAAGCAGGGAGTGTGGGTTTGATCCCTGGTCAGGGAACTAAGATCCTACATGCGGCCAATAAATAGATAAATAAATAGAACTCTGAGAAAACAAATCTGTTTTTTTTTTTTTAAAGTATCCAATTTTATTCAAGCAAAGCAAAGCAGATCAGATGGAAACCAAAATGTTTTCCATGCTTGAGAAAGGCGAGGCTTAACGTGGACCAACAAAGGATTGCTATGTTTTTCTTCTGTTTTATGATGGGAGGGGAACTGAGAGGAGGGGAACCAAATCTCCGAGAATTTGAGTAAAGTCATGGTCTCCTTTTAAAAAATGTATATAATGAAAAGAATTTGGACAAAAGCAAGACATTCCTAACCTTCTCAAAATCCATTAAGAGTTAAGTACACCTAATTTTAAAAAAGGCAACTGTAGGTGAAAGAGGGAAGGGCTCTAAACTGAAAACATCTCAAGAAGAGTTAAGGACAGGAGGCAAGGACATGGGAAGCTTGATGATAACAGCATTTGTTGAGAGCATAGTATATACCAGCACTGTCCAGCAGAAATATAATGCCAACCACCTATGTGATTTTAGTAGCCACATTAGAAAGAATAGATGAAATGCTAATATTTTACTTAACTCCTAATATCCAAAATACTACCATTCCAACACTTAATCTCTATAAAATTTATTAATCAACAAAACACTTTTCCTACTAAATTTTCAAAATTTAGTGTGTAGTGTACACTTATAGTACATTTAGGATGACAAACCATCCTGGTTTGTCTGAACCAAGGGGTTTCCTGGGACACAAAAGTTTCCGTGCTAAAATCAAGACGGTCCCTGCAACCCTGACAGCTGGTCAAATCTCAATTTGGACAAGCCACATTTCAAGCCGTGCAGCTAGCCAGGGACAGTAGTGGCCGGTGTAAGCATTTATCCAGGCCAGCACAAAAAAAGACTACATGTGTGATCTCACTACTTCATCACACACCTAAGCAGCGGATGATGTTAGTTTCCAAATTACAGATAAAGAAAGAAATAAGTACATGTTCCATCTGTCACCTAAAGTCATACAACTAGGGTCAGGGTGGAGGGGAATCGGTGAGCCTGGGCTGTAGGTGGTGAGCTTGGGGCCTAAGGGACATTGAGATATGAGAACAGAAGGGGAGACAAGGGAAAACGTGAACAAGGAAGGCCCTTCAGGAAGGAAAACAGAACTGAGTGGAGGAGAGAAGGCGGGGGTTGGAGGGTGGGGGGAAGGCAGGGAGTGTGGAAGAACGAATGGCTTCCTCAGTAAAGAAATGGTGCAATATAGGCTGGGACGGGGGTTGAGAAAACGTGATGGAGCAAGTATCTCAGTCAAGAGGACAAAAGAAGTGGGAAGGAAGGAAGAGAAAGAAGCGGGCAGCGACAGGGAAGAGAGGAAAGAAAAGAGCCAGGGTGGGAAGGTTAGGAGCACCGGCTTAGGAGCCTGAAGATCCGGGGGGCGGGAGGGAAATTCACAACAGATGGTGAGCAGCTAACGGTGCAGTTTTCACGACTCCGTGGGTCAAATCATTTAACGGTCACGAGGCACTCCTGTCACCCCCTGTCTGGCACGGGAGTCGTCTGGAGAGGCGGGGGCCCCGACCCCCGCCGCCGCCGGGCCGTCCGGCCTACCTGTGCAGCGGCGGCAGGTCCTGCGCGTCGCTGGCCGGGTCGGGCGTGTTGGGGATGACGCCCAAGATGGTGCTCTGCAGCGACGTGCCCTTGAGCAGGCGGCTCCGCACCAGCTGCAGGTTGCGGGCCGAGTCCACGCTGGTGCGCATGGTGGAGCCGGGCAGCAACACGCCCTCGTGCGTGAGCAGCAGCGGGAGGCGGCTGGGGATCTGGATGGGGCTCAAGGACGACATAGCGCCGGGAGAGTCCCCGGGAGCCGGAGGCCCGTCTTCGCGCGGCCTCCTCAGCGGCGAGCCCGGCGCGCTGCCGCTTCCGGTCCCGGGCGCCCGCTCACCCGCCCCCAGCCTCCGGCGCCGTACACACGCGAAGAGAAGCGCATTCCGCCCGCCGATGACCCCCGCCTCCCCGCCCTCTGTTCTCTCTGGAGTTTCATTCATAGCTGAGTTGTGTGCCCAGCGATGGTCCCATGTGAATCATGTCCACTTGAAATGTTTCTACCTTTCTATTCGAATTGATTTTAGATGTACAAAAATATACTAGGGAGTTTCCATGTACCTTTCACCCAGCTTCCCGTGTAATCATCTTACACAATCATGATTCGACTCTAAAAACCAGGAAACTAATAGTACTGTTATCTAATTTATAGATTTCCACAAATTTTGCCAGTTTTCTCAGAAATGTCCTTTTTTCTGGTCCAGGATCCCACTTTTTATTTAGATACAATGTCACCTCAATCTTTTTTTCTTTTTTCCTTCAAAGCTTTGGTCTCTTATTTTGTAGAATGTCCCTTTCTTGGGGTTTATCTGCTGTTTTCTCAAGACCACGTTATACATTTTTGGCAGGAAGACCACAGAAGCTATGTGCCTTAGTGATACATTAACGGTGAAATGTCTTACCGATGACGATTTCAACAGTGATTAGGTCCCCCACTTTAAGGTACTATTTATCTCATTATAAGTAAGAGTCTGTAGGGAGTTAAGTCTACATTTATCAATTGGAATCTGTAAGAAAAAACTGCCTCATCTCCCTCATTTATTTACTTATTCTATTATTTTTTGTATTAATATGGACTCAAATATTCAATGTTTTATGGGTTATCATGCAATGATATTATGTATTTCATTGCTCAAATTTTTTCACATTTGGCCTTTGGGAGCTCCTTCACCCCTGTGAGGAAGGTAGCACTATCTCCTTTTTATAAATGAGTAATGAGATTCAAAAAGGGTAATCAGCTTAGTTATTCATGATTACAAGGCTATTAAATAGCAATAGGGGACTTGGTTTTGGCTATAGGTCGCAGAGGGAAAATTTTCCCCAAATAAGAAGTTCCGCAAGGGTCTCAGAATCCAGGAGGGAATTGAAAGTCAAGTAAACATGCATTTCTTGAGTGCCTGCTAAGTATAAGTTCCTCAAGTGCTGCTTGGCCAGAGGGACAGACCTACTGGTGGCTGAGTCTGATACAGGAATTGTTTGTTTCTGTATGTGAAGCAGTTAAGAGAAAGGAGAAGACAGGTGTCCTAGCCACTGTTCTGGAGATAGAAATTCGGTCAGAGTCTCCTGCCTAAAGCTCTTCCTCTGTCGTGATCCCACCTTTTATTCATTCACTAAACAACTATTTTTTGAATGCCTACCATGTAACAGATGTTACTTGAGATGCTGGGGATACATCAGTGAACACAACAGACAAGGTTCCTGCTTTCATGGAGCTAACGCTCTGGGAAGAAGCAGGGAAAATCCTTTCGGATGCTGAGATGCCCTTCAGATGGCCAGAGCAGGCCTCGCTGAAAAGCTGGGCTTTCTTTGAATGGAGCCTTGTACTGCAGCCATGCAGAGGTTGCGGGGCGGCTGCCAAGGGAGTGCCTTCTGGGCCCGAAGGAGTGGTGACGGCAAAGGCTTTCTGACCAGGATGAATTTAGAAAGCTTGTGGAGCCTGCTCCTGTGGTTGGTGGAGGTGGGGCCTGGTGAGGGAAGCAGGAGAGAAGTGGGAGAGGTGGGGCGTAGAGAGCTCATTAAGAAGTGAGGAGTGGGGGTCAGGAGTCTGCTGAGGAATTTGGGTCTTACTCTAAGCTCAGGGCAAGCCATTGGCGGTTTCAAGTTGTGGAATACTTTTTCAGACTTAACATTGTCAAAAGGTCATGTTAACTGCTGTGTGGAGAATGGAACACAAGGGTTTAAGGTCAGATGCACAGAGCCAATTAGGAGCTGGTTGAAGTGGCCCAGGCAAGAGGTGATGCAGACTCAGACCAGAAGCAGTATATTCAAGCCATGTTTGAATGTAGCTTCAACACAGCACAGATAGGACTTCCCTGATGGTCCGGTAGCTAAGAAGCCACCCACCAGTGCAGGGGACATGGGTTCTACCTCTGGCCTGGGAAGACCCCGTGAAACGGGCAGCAAAGCCCATTCACCGCAACAACTGAGCCAGAACTCTAGAGCCTGAGCTCTGCAATAAGAGAAGCCACCTCAGTGAGAAGCCTACACACCACAGAAAGGAGCCTGTGCCCAGCCACAGAGCCCCAGAACAACCGTAGCTAACTAACTAGCCAAACAAAAACCGAGCATGCTGATGGACTGGACATGGCGAGTGAAGGAGAAGGTCAGGGCCTGAGCCTCTAGGGCCTCCAGAGCAGTTGTGCTGGTAGCAGGAGATCTTGGCTCCAACCAGCATGCTCTGGATTGCTCTCTGATAGCACTGGGTACCTGACACTGTGATAGACTGGCGGTGAAGCAAAGATAAAAACATGCAGGGCCTAGCTCCCAAAGAAGCTTAGCTTTTCACCAAGTCTTCTCCAAGGGCAAGGGGGAATGTCCCCATTTTTTCAGAACTTCGAAAACCATCTTATAAACCCTGCAGTATACTTTCTGAATAATGCTTTTAATGTACAGTGTCCCCAACAACAAGCAATATGAGTGTCTAGTCACATAATCATAGCTGGATTTATTTTAAAATACAAATGTATCCTGCGCCATGGAAGGCGTGGTGTGGCCCCGGGTCCACGTTTAAGTTGCTTACTTGATTAACACCTTCTGTCTATCCTATCTGTCTGTCTCTGTGGAGGTGCCAGTCCCCCTCGGAAAGCAGCAAGAATCTAAGTGTGAGGTCTCAAGTGACTGAGTGGCCCTCCTGGTTCCTTCTTTAACACCCTTGCGTCTATTTTCTTCATTTATCTACTAAACACTTATTCCACCCTGGTGTAAAAGGGCTGAGGTAGGCAGTAAATAAATAAGCTCCCAAAGAAATGGCAATTTCAGAAAGTGATAAGTAGAGGAAATCTAATAGGAAAATGTGTAGAAGATGCTAGAGAGAGGAGGACAAGATGACGGAGGGAGATCTGGGAAGGTTACCCTGTGAAGGTGGTGTATAAGCTGAAACCTGCATGATGAGGAAGGCCAGGCTCTGCTGGGAGCCGGGAGGAGAATGCTCTTGACAGAGAGTAGGCAAAGGCCAAGATAGGAAGGAGTTTCCCAGTTTCTGGAACAGAGATGATCAGGCGCTGGGCTGGAGGGATTCAGCAGTCGAGCAGACAGCCAGGACCAGCAAGGGGCTCCAAGAGCTCTGGGAGCTCGCCCCCAGAAAGCTTTACCCAACTCCCCAGGGAAGGGAAGGGAGAGGAACGGGAGAAATAAGGTCTAATCCTCTCAGCTTCGTCAGGCCTGGCTTGTTGGTGCCTCTGCCCCTTGCCCTGATCATCTCCCATACGCTCTGCTACCCTTCTGGCCCTGGACACTAGACCATACTGGGGAAGTGTTCAGAACAATGAGTTCTTTCAGAAAGATCACCTCCGTCCAACGTCCCTCTCCTGTCCACAGGCTGTTTCACCATGTACAAATGGCCGTGAACTAATCCTGAGTCTAAACTAAACCTGATGTTGCCTGACTCCGGGAATGGGGGAGCACAGAGCTGGAAGCATCTGCCTCCTTCCTGGTTTATTCCCAGTCCTGACCTGGACCCCAGCCTGACCACGACCCCAGCCTGACCACAGTGATGGGCTTGCCATTAACTAGACTGAATAAACTTCAGCTCTGTCTTCTTCCTGAAAGGAAGTTGGGGAGCCAAGGAACTTTTCTCTTTTCTGGGATACCAAAGGAAACCCTGGAGGGAATTCCTCTGGCCAGTCAAGGAAGCAGGGGTGGGCCTTATAGTCATGGAAGGTGGCCCAAGCCAATGTGTGACTCAGTTCCAGTTATCCTGAGATGAGCAGTTCATGTCGTATAAACATATCCATTATACACATTTGCATTCCCTTCACTTGCATTTGGAGTAGGCAGTGGCACCCCACTCCAGTACTCTTGCCTGGAAAATCCCACGGATGGAGGAGCCTGGTGGGCTGCAGTCCATGGGGTCGCGAAGAGTTGGACACAACTGAGAGACTTCACTTTCACTTTTCAAGGATACGACTGAGCAACTTCACTTTCACTTTTCACTTTCATGCATTGGAGAAGGAAATGGCAACCCACTCCAGTGTTCTTGCCTGGAGAATCCCAGGGACGGGGGAGCCTTGTGGGCTGCCGTCTATGGGGTCACACAGAGTCGGACACGACTGAAGCGACTTAGCAGCAGCAGCATTTGCATTTGCATTTGCTTTAATTTTCCCTGTTACTAGTTTCTTGGATAACTTCTATATTTCTGTATGGAGTTACATCTTTGAAACCATCATGTATCTCTTTGCAGGTGTATACAAATAAACCAGGTTGGCAAATCATACTGTAACTGAAAGGTGAGAAAAAAAAAATCTAATTTCTGTATTAGTGCTCCAAGAGTCTGGCCTTCCTCATGAGTCCCTACTTGCCAGGTAACTAGGAGAACATAAATGTTTGGGCTCACTGTTTTAAGATACTGGTTTATGAGGACTAATTGTCAAATTTTTTTCAGGAATTTTGAGAGCCCAGTTGTTAAATACAAATAGTATTTAAATTATTAAACTTACAATTAATTATATTATATCAAAGACAAAGATAATGCTCAAAAATCTATCACTTCCTAATTATTTCACTATGCTTACTTTTTATACTTTTATTTACATCTATTGTAATAGGGGCTTCCCAGGTGGTACTAGTGGTAAAGAACCCACCTGCCAATACAGGAGATGTAAGAGACACAGGTTGGATCCCTGGGTTGGGAAGATTCCCTGGAGGAGGGCTCGGCACCTGACTCCAGTGTTCTTGCCTGGAGAATCCTCATGGAGAGAGGATCCTGGTGGGCTGCAGTCCATAGGGTTTCCAAGAGTCAGACACCTCTACTTAGCACGCACACCTACTGTATTTGTACATAGAAATACTGTACAGTGATTTCTTAATGCGCCTCTCTTCCCAACATGTTGGTAGCTTGAAATCCTTGATGGGAATACTTATACCACAACAATCCGCTAAGGCTACAAATCTGGATTTGTTTTTATTATTTTATTGATTGTCTAGGCTTAAGAAATAAACGCAGGAAATGTTAATAATTCAGATTAACAAGTGTGGTGCCTGTAGCCATTACATTGTGAAGAGCACAAAAAATGAGAAAATTCTCTTTCAGTATTTGAAAACTCTTCAGCAGTTACATGGGTCATTGGCAGATGAGTGAAGATGCAACCAACATATGTCTTTGATGCTTCAGTTTCCTGTTACTCGTTAACATAAAGCACAATATCAAGTTACAGCTGTGTTGGAACTACATTCACTCACCAGTTGCAAGCACAGTTTAGTTATAGATGCACACGTTTACCAGTACACAGTGCCTGATGCTAAAACTGTCCCTTGCCAGGGTGCATGACTTGCAATCTAGAAGTTACTTCCTCCCCCTCCCCAACTCCAGTCCCTCCACTGAGCACCTTTGTGTCTTAGTAAATAAACTGTAAGCCAGTATATCATGGTTCTACCCCCAGGGGTAGAACCTTCCACTGAATCATGCCAGTTTCACTTTAGGCTGGTTATGACAGACAGAAACTGGACTCTTCCCACAGTCTTAAACCAGAACTACCGGACAGCTTCTCTTACCTGACATATCTCTTTTATTTTAAAGTTTTCCAACACCCCTGAAAGGTCCACTTCTATCCTCGCATGCAAGTACAGTTGCCCCTCAGTTCAGAGCTGGGATTGGTTCCAGTCCCCCTGTGGATTTGAAAATCCAAGGATGCTCAAGTCCCGTATGTAAAATAGTGTAGTATTTACATATAATCTAAGCACATCCTCCCATACACTTTAAGTCATTACTTATAACTGTAAATACAATGTAATGCTATGTGAACAGTTTCCTTTGCTAACTGAAGCTTTCCTTTTGGGAATACAGGGATTTTTTTTTTTCCCCCTGAATCTTATCTATAGTCAGTTGGTTGAATCTTGATTGCAAAATCTATGGGTACAGAGGGCTAACTGTATACTTATGGCCTGGTGCCATGGCTAGGGAATCAGTCTTGTAGGCTCTATAGAATAATTCCAGAAACTGAGTCCATCAGATTTGGGTGTGATTTGCTAAAAGGAAGTGAGATGAGAGAGAATGGGATAAAGGAATTTAGAGAATCTTCTCCCAAGACAATAGGCTAGTCTTCAAGTCTGTTTACTTGAAACACAATCCAGTATTTGAAAGCCGAAAGCTATATCTGAGCACGAGGACTGGCTACATAATTTGTGGGACCCAGGGCAAAATGAAAATGTGGGACTCCTTGTTCAGATTATGAAGAATTTCAAGATGGTGGTGGTAGAACATCTATAAGTCCATCACAAGCTGGGGCCCTGTGAGACACCCATCATACCCCATGATGTCAGCCCTCTTGTACATTTTCTTTCTCTTTCCATTCCTCCAGAAACATTACTGATAACCATCCCCTCTCCTGCCCCAGGCACATGGATGTTCTGAGAGTGAATCATATATTCACAAAGCAAAATGAAAAGCAAAGTAATATATTTTTCAGTTATTTAAATTTCCTAAATCAGGGACTTCCCTGGTGGTCCAGGGGCTGTGACTTTGAGCTTCCAATACAGGGGGCGCAAGTTCCATGCTTGGTCAGAAAACTAGATCCTAAATCCTCAAATAAGACTTTGCATGCCTCAACTAAAGAAGCCACATACTACAGCTAAGTCCCAATGTAGCTAAATAGATAAATATTTTCATAAATAAATAAATGTCCTAAATCATACCCAGGTCCCCTTCCCTGAGTCTGAGAATGGCAAAATCACATTTCTTTCATTTATTTATTCATTCATTCACCATTGATTTACTGAATATCTGCCCTCCTCCTAGCAGATCCCTAGGCCTGAGGGATTTAATAGTAAGCAAAGTAGACCTATCTTTGTCCTTGTGAGGATCTCTGTTTAGTGCAAGAAATGAACTCTAAAAAATCAGAGATTCACTTAAATAGACAATTACAGACTGGAATAAAAGAAGAGGCATGGTTAAATAAGCATGGTTTTAAGAGCAAACCTTGAATATATTAAAGAAGATTGACCTGGCCCAAGGATGTAGGTTGGGAATGGGTGGTTTGGGGTTTCCCTTGGTGATCTTATGCTGAGCCCCAGGTAGAAGTTTAAAGACAGGGAGCCAAGCCCCTTCCTAACAGAGGGAAGAGCAGGTGCTGTGATGATGGCCCCCAGCACACTCCTTGTTGGGCCATATCCCCCTCTCCTGGTTGCTTGGGCTTCCATCTAAGCTGCTCTTACCTGTTGCCTTTTCAGAGTCTCTGATTCTGGGAAACAAAGAACTGGCAGTACACCTGAAAATGACCAGAAGGAGGATATACTGGGTCCCCAGGTCTTCTGGTGGCCTTGTGAATCTCGGCTTGGATGTAGAGGATGACATGGTTTCAGGACTTAGCTATGTAAGTAGATCTCCTTTGCATCAAAACACCAGGAAACTGAGTTTACAGGGTATTTCCAGTGGTCATAAACTGGATCAAATTTTTTTGTCCCCTATTTATTCAGTTTTGATTTTTTTTTTAAATGGAGCTCTGGCTTCCATATTATGATGAATCATAATCCTTGGTCATGATGCACGTTCAAGGCTCATACAACTCTCTCCCACTACCCTCCACTTCCCACCCCATCTCTGTCTGTCTCACCTATTTATGCATTTACTTATAAGAATATGATAAGCACCAGTAAGTCTACCACCAACTCAGCAGCTCGGACTTGACCCCATTGCATTCCCCAAGTCTCCCTGGTTCCTTCAGGAACCACTATTCTGAACCTTTACTCATAGATCCCTTTCTGTGTTTTCAAGAGAGTGTTATTTGTTCTATATGAAGTCCTAGATAATAATATATCTTTTTCATTTCAGTGGTTTCCTACTTTATCAAAAGGGTAACATGTAATATCTTGTGATTTATTTTTTACTTCTTGATTTCTTTTTAATAGTTTTATCCTTAGAGAGTGACGTGGTTTTGCATTCTGTGGACGACTAAACATAACACTCTTTCTTCTTATCCACAGTGTTTATGGACAGAGAAAAGCCCAGAGAAGCTGAGGGAACTGCCCAGAGTAGGAGCAGAGCCAGAGCTGGGAGCTGGTTATTCTGACCCATGACTCATTCCCTACCTACAGGCTTTCCTTTATTTATTTTTATTGAGACAAAAGTGGCATAAAACATCATATGACTTTCAGATGTATGATATAATGATTCATTATTTGTTTAAATTATGAAACAATCACCACAATAACCATCACCACCCGTAGTTCAAATATTTTTTTTCTTGTGAGAAATTTCAACACCTACTCTCTTAACAACTTTCAGATATGCAGTACGGTATTATCAGTTATAGTCACCATGTTGTACAATATATCCCCATGACTTGCTCATGTCTGTATTTTTTGACCACCTTCACCCATTTTGCCTATCCTCACCTCTGGCAATTACCAGTCAGGTAATTTTGTTTGCTTGTTAGTTGGGTGGGTATTGTTTATTCTATTCAGTTCAGTTCAGTTCAGTTGTTCATTTGTGTCCGACTCTATGTGACCCCATGGACTGCAGCACGCCAGGTCTCCCTGTCCATCACCAACTCCCAGAACTTACTCAAACTCATGTCTATCAAGTCAGTGATGCCATCCAACCATCTCATCCTTTGTCATCCCCTTCTCTTCCTGCCTTCAACCTTTCCCAGCATCAGGGTCTTTTCCAATGAGTCAGTTCTTCGCATCAGGACTCTCAAGAGTCTTCTCCAACACTGCAGTTCAAAGGCATCAATTCTTTGGCGTACAGCTATCTTTATAGTCAAACTCTCACATCCATACATGACTACTGGAAAAACCATAGCTTTGACTAGATGGACCTTTGTTGGAGCCATGGTACTGGAGAAGACTCTTGAGAGTCCCTTGGATTACAAGGAGATCAAACCAGTCAATCCTAAAGGAAATCAGTCCTGAATATTCATTGGAAGGACTGATGCTGAAGCTGAAATTCCAATACTCTGGCCACCTGATGCGAAGAACTGGCTCGTTGGAAAAGACCCTGATGCTGGGAAAGAGTGCAGGCAGGAGGAGAAAGGGGTGACAGGATGAGATGATTGGATGGCATCACCAACTCAATGGATATGAGTTTGAGTAAACTCCAGAAGTTGGTGATGGACAGGGACTGCAGTCCATGAGGTCACAAAGAATTGGACACGACTGAACAACTGAACTGAACTGAACTGAACTGAACCTTTGTTGGCAAAGTGATGTCTCTGCTCTTTAATATGCTGTCTAGGTTGGTCATAGGTTTTCTTCCAAGAAGCAAGTGTCTTTTAATTTCATGGCTGCAGTCACCATCTGCAGTGATTTTGGAGCCCCCCACAATAAAGTCTCTCACTGTTTCCATTGTTTCCCCAGCTATTTGCCAGGAAGTGATGGGACTGGATGCCATGATCTTTGTTTTTTGAATGTTGAGTTTTAAGCCAACTTTTTCACTCTCATCAAGAGGCTCTTTAGTTCTTCTTCGCTTTCTGCCATAAGGGTGGTGTCATCTGCATATCTGAAGTTATTGATATATCTCTTGGCAATCTTGATTCCAGCTTGTGCTTCATCAGCATGTCACATGATGTACTCTGCATATAAGTCAAATAAGCAGGGTAACAATATATAGTCTTGACATACTCCTTTCCCAATTTGGAACCGGTCTATTGTTCCAAGTCCAGTCCTAACTCATATTCCTTGACCTGCATACAGATTTCTCAGGAGGCAGATGGTTCCCATCTTCCCATCTTAAGAATTCACACCTCTTTAAGAATTTTCCACAGTTTGTTGTGATCCACACAATCAGAGGCTTTGGTCAATAAAGCGGAAGTCAATAAAACAGAAGTAATGTTTTTCTGGAACTCTCTTGCTTTATTCTATTGGGGTGGCCAAAAAGTTCCTTGGGGTTTTTCCATAACATCTTATGGATGGTGTATTTCAGATATATGTAAGTGAGATCATAGAGTATTTGCCTTTTTCTGTCTCACTGTGGTATCCTTTCTCTAGGAGGCTGAATGTGGAAAGATCCATCCTCGTTGGGTTGCTGGCCCCTCATTCCCTCAGGACAGTATTTTCGAGGTCTGAAACTGATCCTCTTTTGTTTCTTATTTCCCAAGAAAACAATCACTGTTGAAGACAGCCCCTGCAGACAGCAGGTGAGGGAACGTGAGGCACGAGGGAGAGGGAAGTATGACACTGCCTGGAAAACCATGATTCCCTTCCGACCAAAGCCAAAGTGAGTTCTAGGTGGGAGCTGAGGGTTGGTACCCTCCAGGGCAGCGGTCCTCAGCCCTCACACCCAGACCCCTCCTAAAGGCTGACAGCCCTGTCCCAACACTGTCCTGTCACCCTCCACAGCCAAACACCTCCCAAGAAACCTGAGACACATCAGGGCAGCACAGCCAGCATCTTTACTCACTCATTCAGTCAGTCAGTAGGACTCATTGAGCTCCTATAGACACTGTGCTAGACTGCGGGGGTAACAGTGAGCCAGCCAGACAGCACCCTTGCCCATCACCGACCTCACATGGGGGAGAATGACAGTAAGCTTATAAGCAGGCCAACCAAGTTCCATCTAGTCAAAGCTATGGTTTTTCCAGTGGTCATGTATGGATGTGAGAGTTGGACTATAAAGAAAGCTGAGTGCTGAAGAATTGATGCTTTTGAACTGCGGTGTTGGAGAAGACTTTTGAGAGTCTCTTGGACTGCAAGGAGATCCAACCAGTCAGTCCTAAAGGAAATCAGTCCTGAATATTCATTGGAAGGACTGATGTTGAAGCTGAAACTCCAGTACTTTGGCCACCTGATGCCAAGAGCTGACTCACTGGAAAAGACCCTGATGCTGGGAAAGATTGAAGGTGGGAGGAGAAGGGGATGACAGAGGATGAGATGGTTGGATGGCATCACCGACTCAATGGACATGAGTTTGAGTAAGCTCCAGGAGTTGGTGATGGACAGGGAAGCCTGGTGTGCTGCAGTCCATGGGGTCGCAAAGGGTCGGACAGGACTGAGCGACTGAACTGGAGCATATGATTATTACTGTTTGAAGAGGGCACTGTAAAGAAATGTGGGGGTGTGAGGGACCGGAGAACAGCGACAACACGATAGGTTCTGAGTGACACTGAAACAGACCTGGAGGATGAACAGGAGGACGGTGTGGGCAGCATGTGCAAAGGCCTGGCCTTGCAGTGGAAGAACACAGTGATGTGCATGTCCAGCATCTGAGAAGGAGGCCAGCGCCTCTGCAGAGTTCTAGCCATAGTGGACATGGCAAGGTGACACCGCCGGCATGTCTCCACAGACCACATTAAGTACGTCGGTCTTCATTCAGAGAAAAACGGGCAGCCATTGAAAGGGCCAAATGCCCTAAGATGTTACCTTAAACTTAAGAGTTTAAGAAATTCATGGAGCCCTCTCTATTAAATTATAGTTTCAAGTAACCATTCCCAAATGACTTTCTAGTTTAAACCCCTGGGGCTTCAGGGGCCTCCACAGATTCACACACATACTCCTTTATGCAGCATTTGTCGACAGGCACTTAATTAACACTTCTGGCCTGATCCCTCAGTGTTTTGTCACTGGGAAAAATTTTGTATTTAGGAATCCCTCATCTCTCCAGTGTTTTTCTAACAAACAGACAGCAGTGGTTTTCCTATTTTTAAATCTGAGCTTCTATCAATGCCAGTTACATAGTTACCCACCAAATCAATCTTATCTCAACCAGGACCAGAGAACCTTGGTACTTGAGTTCACCTGGACAGCCTTATCTTAGAGAAACCATATTTCTGCTGGGCCCTTGGAACATCAGCCCCGGCCATCAGTTCTGGCCCAATCCTTGCTATCACAGATGGCCCCACACATCTCCTACAATGTCCCATCTTTCCTCAGTTCTTCTCTCCCAACATCTCCCACCGAGGCCAGGTCAGCATTGCCCAGAATGTACAACCATGGTTGCTGGTGGGCTGGGAGGGTGTAAAGGGCCAGAATGTGGAGAAAAGAGGCCATAACCCAAAGCAAGAGAACATCCTGCAAGTCCGGCAGTTTTGTCTTCACATCTGTCTCCGCAAATCTTTTTTAAAGTTGAATTTTCCTCATATTGAACCGTATAGCATCAGAGACAATGTTGAAAAAAAAGTGAAATTACACACAATCTCAACACCTTAATGAAACCATTATTTGTCTTTTGTGAACGATTCACAGAGATATGACCTTATCATTCTTAGTTATTTATTTTACAGTTTTTATGGGAGTTACAGAAGCAGAACATAAAAATTTAGTGATGAGAATCTAGTTTTGTTCTTTTGCGATTTCTAACCCCTAATTCAAAGTCAATCTATGAATGATTTGCCATAAATTGTTATATAATTTGATATTTATTTTATATAATATATATATTTTAAATATATATAATATAGATATGTGTATATTGTTCTCTGTCTGACCTCCCTATGTCTTCCTTTTTTATATTAGTAAAAATATTCTAAATTTCTTGATCTTCAACCTTTTTTTCAGTATGCTTAGAGCCCGTTCCATGTTCCACATGTAGATCGTCCCTATTTTTAGATCCTTCTGCACTGTTTTCTACAATATGGTGCAGGATGTACTATATTTGTCTTCTTTCTTTTTAAATCATTTCTCTGTTGCTGGGTGTTTTTGTTGCTTCTGGTTTTTAACTATGAGTACTGGGGGAAAACCTCAGTGTGGTCCTCTGGATGTAGGAAAAAAATATTTTTTCATGACTGTTATTTGTGATGTTAATAATAGTCATGGAAAAATACTTTTTTCTACATGTAGACGTTGGAGAAACCACTGTGGTTAAGCCACAGTTCTCATTCATCTCTTCTGAGTTCTGCCTGGGACTTAGTTGTCCGCCTCTGGAGCCCACGTCCAATGTCACCATGCTGACTGTGACCTCTCTGCTAGGTTTCCTGAGCACCAACCCCTGGATGATGCTGGCCTGTTCTCCTACCTCACGCTGTCATGGCTCAGCCCGCTCATGGTTCGAGGTTCACAGAGATGCTTAGATGAGAACAACATCCCCCAGCTGTCAGTACACGATGCCGCAGACAAAAATGCCAAAAGGTAAAGTCATGCTGGGTGAGCCAGCGGGGTTAAAGACAACGTCCTGGCAGTCAGTGACCAGAGATGCTTAAATATGTGTTTTTAGGGGAGGGGGGTAGTGGTTCATCTTCAGACAACCAAAATATATCAGTTCTCCCTTTGTTGCAGGAACCTTCCTTCTATTGGAGGTCCTTAATCTGGAGTTAACAATAATTTACATATTTCACATGTAAATATTTACATACAGGCTAGAGAACTTTTTCTGGAACAAGAATTCGCATCTTTTATCAGGTCTGTCTGAGGTCCCAGGACCCTGAGAAAGAAAGTACTGCTTCTTGTCCCCTTTGCCTTTTTGGTGTGTGGATAAAGCATTTATCTGTGGCCTGCTGTCGGGCCCTGGGGGCAAAGGGCAGCCCAACAAGGGAATCCGTTTTGTCCACTGTGCTCTTGCTGTCTAAGGAGCAGCAGCTTTGGCAAGTACCTGGAGTCCCTTGGCCTGATCCACGATGCTGTCATCATTGCTGTTGCTCAGTCGCTCAGTCGTGTCCGACTCTTTGCGACCCCATGAATCGCAGCACGCCAGGCCTCTCTGTCCATCACAAACTCCTGGAGTTTACTCAAACTCATGCCCATTGAGTCGGTAATGCCATCCAGCTATCTCATCCTCTGTTGTCCCCTTCTCCTCCTGCCCCCAATCCCTCCCAGCATCACAGTCTTTTCCAACGAGTCAGCTCTTCACATCAGGTGGCCAAAGCATTGGGGTTTCAGCTTCAGTATCAGTCCTTCCAATGAACACCCAGGACTGATCTCCTTTAGGATGGACTGATTGGATCTCCTTGCAGTCCAAGGGACTCTCAAGAGTCTTCTCTAGCACCACAGTTCAAAAACATCAATTCTTCAGCATTCAGCCTTCTTGATGGTCCAACTGTCACATTCATACGTGACCACTGGGAAAACCATAGCTTTGACTAGACAGACCTTTGTCGGCAAAGTGGTGTCTCTGCTGTCATCATGGGCCGTGCTAACCGCTTTCCCAATAGTGGGACCGGACATAGGGAAGCAGGAGCCAGGACGTCCGAGTTCAGCCAACATGGTGCCTGCAGCTGATAGATTGGACTGTGGATGCATGGTGAGGTGGGGAGGCATCCAGAGCCAGATTAAGAGCCCGGAAAACTTGAGCATCATAATGACTATTGTCCAGTCACTTGTTCCTGCCTCAGGTATAGATAGCTCTAAACAAAAGAGAAGAGTAGGAAAGTCAACACAATTTTAAATCTTTAGGTGAAAACTTCTTGGATGCTTTTTAAAAAAGCTAATATACAAATTGTATATCAAGTTTCCCCCCAAAGAAATGTTTTAGGTGTTCTTATTTTGCTGGTGTAGCACAAACCTCCCAGGCATCATTAGCTTGGAATGTCAAAATTAGGATACATTTACATTTCTGGGCTTCCCTGGTGGCTCAGATGGTAAAGCGTCTGCCTGCAATGCAGGAGACCCAGGTTGGATACCTGGGTTGGGAAGATCCCCTGGAGAAGGAAATGGCAACCCACTCCAGTACTCTTGCCTGGAAAATTACATGGACTGAGGAGCCTGGTAGGCTACAGTCCATGGGATCGCAAAGAGTTGGACACGACTGAGTGGCTTCACTTTTACTTTCTTTGGTTGCATGATCCAACCTGGGGCACTGTTTTGGGAATTTTGAAATAAATAAGGGCACTTTTTGGAGATCAGAGTTCTGTGTTTCATGAATCTTAATTTGTGTTTAAAAAGGAAGGGTGACGTTTTTCAGAGCCCTAGGCCGTTTCTTCAACTAACTGTATTTCAGGGTAACAAAACAGTTGATGAGGGAGATTTCTTTTTTTAATATTTACTTATTTAGTTTTATTTGGCTGTGCGGGGTCTTAGTTGCGGCACGCAGCATTTTTAGTTGTGGCTTGTGGGATCTAGTACCCTGACCAGGGATCGAACCCAGGCCCCCTGCATTGGGAACTTGGAGTCTTAGCCACTGGACCACCAGGAAGGTTCTGGGAAAGTTTGGTTTTTTTTTTGTTTTTTTTTTTACAGAAAGTTCAAGCTGCTAACTGTAAATGGAATGATAGAATTAGAAAAATCACCATTTTGCCAGTCCTGTCAGAAGTGGATATAGGCAATGATCATCAGCAATAGGGAACTTAGCAATGGACGAGTCAGGCTAACACACCTTCTTAACGCAGTGATCCAGTTTAACATATCCAAAAGTGGGACAACACACTTTGTACGTCTTCTGATGTGTTGAAAAGAACATATACTACATCATCTAATAAGTATTTTTGCCAGCTAACTTTAATTCTGAATTTTATTATGCCTCTAGATCTAGCTAACAGCTTAATAGGAAGTACATGGCATAGAAACTTATACTAGCCCCACAGGGGTGCAATCAGTCAAATCCAGAATGTGGAAAACTCAACAGGATAAATCGTTCAGATTCTTTAGAAAGTAAATGGCAAAAAATGCAGAGGAAGGGAAATTGTTACAGATAAAATGAGATGCAAGAGGCCTGTCAGATTTGTCTTTTAACTGCAATGAGTGGGACCTGTTTGGATCTTGATTTAGGCAAACTAACTGTGAGAACATATTCTTGAAATAATTAGAGAAAGTTGAATTAAATGCTGCCATTCTTACTATGCTATTAATATATGGCTATTATTAATAGCTATTAATAATGAATAGTCATTAATTCATAACCATTTTTATGGTTACTATGTGGCTTTTTAGGGCTTTATCTGGAAGAGATGCATACTAAAGCATTTATAGACGAAACAATATCTTTGGGATTTGCTTGAAATATTCTTGCAAAAAGAAAAATAATGGAAGGGGAGGAGAGATTAAACAAAAATGTCAAATGTTGATAATTCTTGGAGCTGGGGCATGCATATCTGCAGCATGCATGCAGTATAAATGCCCTGTACTGTTCTCTCTCCTTGTGTTATCTTTGACAATTTTGTGTAACCAAGTTCCTAGACCAGCAAGAACTGGGAGAGTTGGGTGACACAATCAAAGAGATTTCATTTGCCTCCATTTTCTTCTTTTCAAGGCTTCATCTTCTTTGGGAAGAAGAAGTCTCAAGGCATGGAATTGACAAAGCTTCAATGTTTCGAGTGATGCTAAGATTCCAAAGAACAAGGTTTATTTTTGATACAATTTTGAGCTGCTTCTTCTCGGCTGCAAGTGTTCTGGGGCCAGTAAGTAGCAGACTTGACGAGATGTCCGGACTTCAGGCCTTGGTGATTAGCATGTTTAGATCCATCCCAAGAATTGGAGCTGTCTTGAGACTTCCCTGGTGGGTCAGTGGTTAAGACTCTGCACGTCCAATTGGGGGGAGGTGGGTGTGCAGGTTCGATCCCTAGTTGGGGAACTAAGATCCTATATGCCATTCAGGGTGGCCAAAGAAAATAACAATAATTTTTTAAAACCCCAAAACATAAACAAACAAACAAACAAAAAGATTTGAGGATGTCCATCTCTCAACTGCTGCTCAGAAAATGAAGGCTTTCTGGGGTCAGTGGAGCTAGTAGTAGTTGGAAATGCGAATTCTGCAGCCAGTGCTTAGGTTCTAACCTTGGTTCTGCCGCTTAATTTCTGGGTGACTTTGGGCAATTGGTTTACCCCTTCTGTGCCTTGGTTCCCTCATGGAACCCCATGATGTTCTCAACCATAGTCCTCATGGAAACTCTCATGTTTGAAATGGAGAGCCCAACATTATCTGCCTCACAAGGTGACATTAAATAAGTTCAGTATAGAAAACATTTAGAGCTCAGGCTGGCTCAGGACGTGGGAGCTGCTTTGAGAAATGGCGGAACAGCTCGGGGCATGCAGGAGACTCCACGTACCATGGTTAGGATGAATGGGCTCGCTATTTCCTACCGGTTGCTCAACTGCAGACCGTGAACCTGGCTGTCCCAGCTGGGGTCACATGCTCACTTTGGTTGGTTAGCAGTGGAACACTTTGATTGACGATCCAGCCTAGACTGTGTGCATTGGAGCAGGTGACTGTCTCCCCAGAAGAAAATAGAGGCATTGTTACCAGCTCGGGGGAGAGGGGTTGCAGGTCAGGAGGAAGCAACAGCTGCTGACACCACAGAGATAAGTGACTCGGGTGACAGCATGTTCTCCATTCTTCCCTTCAGATGCACTCTCCACCCTTGTCTGCCCCACCCTGTGCTATGCCCCTAGTGTGTGACCTCTATGGATCGCATCCGTGGGGTACCTTTGACTCTGGCTTCTGGTTGAGTTTGACCAGTGGGAGACCCCATCTGGTGGCTAGAGGGAAGGAGAAGGTGAGGGCAAGATATATATCACTCTGACTTCCTCACTCCCTGTCACTGAAGGTTGGTGACCAGATCCTAAAATGAAGGGCCCTTTTTGTATGACTTTCTCTTTCTAGGCTTCAGGAAACTCATCCTCCCCTCCCCATTTAGTTCCTTGTGGTTGCTAGCTCCAAGGTGCTCCTCCATCCCTGTTAAATCTCCTCAATTCTGCCCACACCTTTATAAATAGGTTATCAATTCCTGGATTACTCCGTGTGTGTGTGTGTGTGTGTGTCCTCTATTTCCCACCGGGACTGAGGCTGAAATGTGGTCTCTGTACTCTGGTGCCAAATCAAATCTCAGAGACAGAGTTTTGGTGAAGGGCTTCCCAGGTGAAACTAGTGGTTAAAAAAAAAAAAAAAAAATTCCCCTGCCAATGCAGGAGATGCAAGAGACATGGGTTCAGTCCCTGAGTTGGGAAGAGCCCCTGGAGTAGGAAATAGCAACCCCATCCAGTATGCTTGCCTGGAAAATTCTGTGGACAGAGGAACCTGGTGGGCTACAGCCCATGAGGTCACAGAGTTGGATGCGACTGAGTGGCTAAGCACCTACGTACTCACACAGGAAAGAATGGCTTTATTGCTTTGCCAGACAAATGGGGACACAGTGGACTAATGACCTCAGAACTGTGTGTCCCAATTCAGGGGGATTTGGTGAGGAGTTTTATAGCAACCCTCATGTCTCAGATGGTAAAGAATTTGCCTGCAATGATGGAGACCCGGGTCCGATCCCTGGGTTGGGTAGATCTCCTGGAGTAGAAAATGGCAACCCACTCCAGTATTCTTGCCTGGAGAATTCCATGGACAGAAGAGCTTGGTGGGCTACAGTTCATGGGATCACAAAGAGTCAGACATGACTGAGTGACTAATATTTTCACTTTATAGCAATGGTTCAAGGGTGAGGGTTGCTGATGAGATCAGGGTGTGCGTAGGGCCTGCACTCCTTTAATTTGGCCTCAGGAGTTTTTCTGATGAGCTTCTGTGGTTCTTGAGGTTATCAAACTGTGACTTTCTCTCTGGAGTAGAGTATTTCATCAAGTAGTTAGCAGCTTCCATCTGTTGGGTGTTTTAATTCTGTAGAAGAGCTCAAAGATATTGTTATGTGTATCCCTTGAGGAGTAATGAGGATCCTGCCCCAAGACTGTTTCTTGGCTGCAGTTTCCTTGTCTCTGCATCCCCTCTCTTCCCCTAGGAATGCAGGGAAGGTTATGGAGGCTGGAGTCTATTCCCTACAAACAAGAAATATGGGGCACGGAATAGGCTTCCGCATCTAGAAACACCAGAGCGTCCTGCTTGGTCTCAGGACCAGTATGAGATGGTGGAGCTGGGCTTCAGATCTGGGTCAGTTGAACTCCTAAGTGTCCTCCAACTGGACTGTGACCTTCTGAGTGCAGAATTGTGCCTGAGTCAGTTGTGATTGTCAAGTAAACCCCCTCTCTTGACCCGAGGACCTTACGCCTGGTGCACTTTGGTTAGGTGTTGCCTGAAAGCAGGACTGGGAAGTCAGAGTGATCCAAACTCCTGTTTCCTTTTAGATGTTGGTTTTACCAAAGATCCTGGAATACACCAAAAACCCATCGAGGGACGTTACCTATGGAGTTGGGCTTTGCCTGGCCCTTTTTCTCACTGAATGTCTGAAGTCTCTGAGCATGTGCTCATGCTGGGTCATCAACCAGCGCACCGCCATCAGGTTCCGTGCAGCTGTCTTCTCCTTTGCCTTTGAGAAGCTGATGCAATTTAAGTCTCTAACACACGTCACCATGGGAGAGGTAAGTGACGAGGTTGCATATTGAGGGGGTTACTTTCCTCCTCCTCCTCTACACCTCCTTACCCTGGAGGCCAAGGGAGGGAGAAGAAGCTGGAGACCAGGAAGAAAGAGAAAGGAAATCATTTCCAGGGTGAGTGTTGATAACCATCAATAATTGCCTCTGGGATCATAAGAGCATGTCAACAGTAGACAAGGAGATATTCCAGCTGTATTCAGAGCCTTAGAGAGGACTTATCCATCCATTCAATGAATTATTACTGAGATATGCTTTGCGCTAAGCCCTGTCCTAAGCCCTAGGGGTACGTGCTAAGTTACTTCAGTCGTGTCTGACTCTTTGTGACCCCACGGACTGTAGCCCACCAGGCTCCTCTGTTCATGAGATCCTCCAGGCAAGAATACTGGAGTGGTTTGCCATTTCCTTTTCCACCTAGGGGTACAGTTCAGTACCCCTCAGTCTCTCAGTTGTGTCCGACTCTGCGATGCCATGGACTGAAGCATGCCAGGCCTCCCTGTCCATTACCAACTCCTGGAGCTTGCTCAAACTCATGTCCATTGAGTCGGGGATGCCATCCAACCATTTCATCCTCTGTTGTCCTCTTCTCCTCCTGCCTTCAACCTTTCCCACCATCAGGGTCTTTTCCAATGTTTCAGCTCTTTGCATCAGGTGGCCAGAGTATTGGAGTTTCAGCTTCAGCATCAGTCCTTCCAATGAATATTCAGCACTGATTTCCTTTAGGGTTGACTGGTTTGATCTCCTTGCTGTCCAAGAGACTCTCAAGAGTCTTATCCAACATCACAGTTCAAAAGCATCAATTCAGCACTCAGCTTTCCTTATCATCCAACTCTTACATTCATACATGACTACTGGAAAAACCATAACTTTGACTAAACAGACTTTTGTTGGCAAAGTAATGTCTCTGCTTTTTAATATGCTGTCTAAGTTGGTCATAGCTTTTCTTCCAAGGAGTAACCATCTGTAATTTCATGGNGACTATAGAGTCCATAGAATTCTCCAGGCCAGAATACTGGGGTGGGTAGCCTTTCCTTTCTCCAGGGGATCTTCCCAACCCAGGGATCAAACCCAGGTCTCCTGCATTGCAGGCAGATTCCTTACCAGCTGAGCCACAGAGGAAGTCCAAGAACACTGGAGTGGGTAGTCTATCCCTTCTCCAGCAGATCTTCCTGACCCAGGCATCGAACTGGGGTCTCCTGCATTGCAGGCCAGTTCTTTACCAACTGAGCTATGAGGGAAGCCCACCAAGGGGTACAGCAGTGGCCAAAAAGACAAAAATCTTGGGACTTCCCTGGTGGTCCAGTGTTTAAGACTCCATGCTTCCATTGTAAGGGGATATGGGTTCCATCTCTCGTCAGGGAACTAAGATCCTTCATGCAGCTGAAAATTAAAACAAAAAAACACAAATCCTCAGTAGAAGCACAGCAGAAACCATATCCCCAGACCACCTGGGGAGGAAGGTATGGAAGGACTTGGTAGCTCAAGGAAAAACAAGTAGAGATAATCTCTGGTTGTTAATTTTCTTATCTGCAGAGGAGAAATACTTACAGCTGCCTGGTTATTGTTATTGATGGGTTATTTCCTAGCTGGAGCTCCCTACAGCATAACACAAACAATGGCAGAGACTGAAGAAAGATATATGACCAACTATGACCTAGAGTCATGGGGGAATACTGGAATTTTCTATGTTTAATTTCACTTTCTCTATTTTTCTACTGCTTACCAATTGCCTTGATGAGCATGGATTACTTTTATATTGAAACAGATAATTTAATTTTTGGAAAAGACATCCCTGCTCTGGCTCTTTCCTCTCAAACAAGCTCCTCTGTGATCTGGCCTCAGCTGCTCTCCTGCCTCATTTCTTCCTGTGTTCCTTTCTCTAGTCCTAGGTTGACATCTACCTTCCTGGCCAGGCAGGGCTAAACCTCTAGCCCCAAATAGACCAGGCATGTCCACCTCTAGGAAGCTTTGCTCACATCACTCCACCCCTCTCCCCCGCCCTTTCAAAATCTCATTTAATCTTCAAAGGCCTGGCTGAGATGGTCTGTCCTTCATGATAGTATCTCTAGACCCCATCTTTCTGACCCTACACCTCACCAAACCCAAGTCTGGTCTCTCCACTCAGATGAGCTCCCTTCAAAGACATGAACTATTTCAGATCCTCAACTCTGTCCCTCAAAAAGCCCAGCATCTGAATTACACAGGACAATCTCCAAAATACAGTCTGCTAAATGAACCATTGCCACCAAACAGATGCTTCATCTAACTCAAATACCAACAAGTGTAAGATATTTGTTGTTATCATTATTACTGTTCTACTTCACCATTTTACTCCTTCTCTGACCTTAGGCAGCTTGTTCAGCCTCTCTGGAGCTGTGGGATAGTAATAGGACCAACCTTGTAGAAGAGTTATCTTACAGGATTAAATGAGTTAATACATATAAAGCATGTAGAAGAGGGGCAGTGATTCATGTGTTCAGTTGTATCGTTAATTTATTTTATGCCTTAATCATCAAAGCTACCCTGTCCTCCTGCATTTGACTGGAGTTAAAGGATCCACGGCAGCCCTTCTCCCTGTTCTCAGCAAAGTTATCACAGTAACTGTTAATGTCCTCTGAGCCAGATGTTTTCCCAAAGGTGTCACTAAGTTAGCTCAGTCGGTCCTCGGATGACCTCTTACCTGATAGCTTCTGTTATTGTTCCCGTTGTCATGGAGGTGGAAACTCAGGCCATGAAACGGTATGAAACTTGGACAAGGTCACACGATCGGTAAGCGGCAGAGCCTGGCTGCAGATTCCAGGCTCTGAACTCGAGCCGTCACCTGCCTTGCTAAGGAGATCTTCTGCATTCAGGCCAGTGCTGCTTCCTTTTCTGTTTGTCTGTTTTAAGCCCCACTATATGTGAAGTCCAACTTTCCCAACATCTTCACAGAAGCAGAAAATAAGATGACCCATTTGGAACTGAAGATGGAAGTAGTTGCTCATATGAGGATTTCTAGACAGTTGCTTCCATAAATTTTCTATTAAAATTAATTTTAAGAACACCTGGGTTGTGTCCATGTCCCGGCTATCGCAAAAGGTGCTGCTGCGAACACCGGGGTTACATGTGTCTTCTTCTCAGGACATATGCCCAGTAGTGGGGTTGCTGGGTCATATAGTAGATTTAGTCCTAGTTCTTAAAGGAATCTCCATACTGTTCTCCATTATGGCCATATCAGTTTACATTTCTGGCAGAAACTAACACAACACTGTAAAAACTTTAATTACAAAAGCAATAGAAAAAAAAGTTTTAAAAATTACACCTGAATACTTTCTCCTCAGGAAAGAAATCGAAAAAATAGTATAGATGACCCCCTACAACTGGTCACTCCTCCTATGCCTGAACTAACATCACCTTCCAACTTTTATTTATTTATTTATTTTCCATTTATTTTTATTAGTTGGAGGCTAATTACTTTACATCATTACAGTAGACCTTCCAACTTTTAAAAGTACATTTAGGTACACATCTGAATTACCCATAGAAAACATAACATATTTTGTGTGCATGTTTTTGCATAAATTGTACTGCATTTTACGTAGTTCTGCAACTTGGTTTTACCAATAGAAAATGTAAGATATATATTTCTAGGTGAGATTTTTACATCAGCAGTACTACATCACTTACATCATTTTGTAGTTTTTTCTTCTCTCCTCGCCATGTCTTAAATTTCCACGTTGGCACATTTAGATCTTCTTCATTACTTTTCAGTGATGCTTACTCATAATTAAAGCACTTTCTCTTTTTCTTTATTTTTTAGTGTGATATAATTGATGTAGAACTTTGTATTCATACAAAATATACAGCATAATGGGCCTTCCCAGGTGGCATTAGTGGTAAAAAACCTGACTGCCAATGTAGGAGACATGAGAGAAATGGGTTTGATCCCTGCATCAGAAAGATCCCCGGGAAGAGGGCATGGCAACCCACTCCAGTATTCTTGCCTGGGGAATCCCATGAAGAGAGGAGCCTAGTGGGCTACAGTCCATAAGGTCGCAAAGAGTCGGACATGACTAAAGTGATTTAGCATGCACGCACGCACGCATACAGCATAATAATTTGATGTATGCATATATTGCAAAGTGATCACCATAATAAGTTTAGTTAACAACCAGCACCACACATAGTTACAGACTTTTCTTGTGATGAGGATTTTTAAGACCTGTTTTCTTAGCAGCTTCCAGGTATACAATACAGTTTTGTTAACTATAGTCACCATGCTGTACCTTACACTCCCAGGACTTATTTATCTTATAACTAGAAGCTTGTACCTTTTGATCACTTTTGTCCATTTCTATCACTGCCATATAGCCTTCTCAATGTGTGAAACTATTTTATATGTGCTACCTCATTCAGTTATCACATCAACACTATAAAGTAGGTTGTTACATTATTCCCGTTTTACTGATGAGGCAACAGAGGCACAGAGTGACTGAGTCACACATCTGTGGTCCCATAAATGACAAGCTGAGACATCAACACTGACAGTGTGCTCCAGGATCCAATATTAACTAATACTTCTTAAGTGAGTGCTTTGACCTTCCCCCACCAATGGACATTTAGGATGTTTCTGGGTTTGCTGCTATAGGCAGTGCTGTAATCAACATCCTTATATATGTGCTTCCTCCAGCATATTAGAGGGTTTCTCAACAGAGAAATTAAAGTGACAGTCATGGGGTTTGTATAATTATTAGCCTTTAAAAGATACTGTTAACTTGTCCTCCAAACAGGCTTGTACAAAGTCATGCTCACCCAACACTAAAAAATTTTAAAGGCTCAGCCTGGGGCACATTCTGGGCATTGGATGGAGATTGGGTTAAAATGAAAAGAAAATCACTTCTTAGGGATTCAGGTTGGTCATTCCAAAAGACATTAATGAATTGATTCCTTAAATATTTTGTGACTTGGAATGTCAGCTTTTTTACAATTCACTAGGCAGTATATGCTGGGGAGGGAGGGAGTGGGGAGAAGAGTCTATAGCAAGAAAGTGAAAGGAGAAGGAGAAAAAGACTCAACTCCTGCCAAAAAATGCATTAATTATTATTAGAATGAATGGAATAGAACAGAATAAAATACTAGAAGCAACTCTGTGGAATCTGGCTATTAGTAGTAGTAGCAACATTAGTAGTAGTAGCAATTCAATTCAGTTCAGTTCAGTTCAGTCGCTCAGTCATGTCCAACTCTTTGTGACCCCATGAATCACAGCACGCCAGGCCTCCCTGTCCATCACCAACTCCTGGAGTTTACCCAAACTCATGTCCATTGAGTCGGTCCATCGGGTCCATCCAGCCATCTCATCCTCGGTCATCCCCTTCTCCTCCTGCCCCCAACCCCTCCCAGCATCAGGATCTTTTCCAGTGAGTCAACTCTTCACATGAGGTGGCCAAAGTGTTGGAGTTTCAGCTTCAGCATCAGTCCTTCCAGTGAACACTCAGGACTGATCTCCTTTAGGATGGACTGGTCGGATCTCCTTGCAGTCCAGTAATAGCAATAGTAGTAGCTAATTAGTAGCAGTAGCAATAGAACAAAAATGTAACTTTCGTTGGACGCAGTCCACGTGTGCAGGTATGTATCTCATTGACAGTCTTAGAATAACCACCTAGAGTAGGTGTAATCATTGCAGCTTTACAGGTGGAGAAGCTGAGGCTCAGAGTGGCAAAGGAACCTGTTCAGGGTCACACAGCTAGTGACATGAGACTTGTGAACCTGGTGTGTGTCTCCACTCTACCACCCTGCCTCTCAAGCTTGCCTGCCCATAGAAGGCATGGCAAAGCCACCTGTCACATGTACATGCAGCCTCTTCCGGGAACTTGGAGGGGTGACACCTGTGTCCACGGGCTTATTGTCTTACAGGCCATTAGCTTCTTCACCAGCGACATAAACTACCTGTACGAGGGAGTGTACTATGGGCCCCTGGCCGTGCTCACCTGCTTACTGTTGACAAGCTGCAGCATCACCTCTTGCCTCATTCTCGGACCCACAGCGCTCATTGCCACACTGTGCTATCTTCTGATTTTGCCGCTGCAGGTAATGTCTTTCTTTGCCACCCATTTGATGTTGGACATTCCCCAGAACTCCTAGGGCTCTGGAATTGGGGGTGCTTCTGAGTGGGAAGGCTGACTCTTGTTGACTGCTCATTCTATTGCAGGTGAGATTCAGTGTCAATTCCTACCTCAAATGGTTCTCTGGCCACCATGCTGGGGCCTCATAAATATCAATAAGAGGTGAATCTGATGGGTGAGGTCCACCTCATGGGTTTCTGTGAGCGATTATCTGCTTCATGGACTTTCCTCAGTAGCTATCCTCTGTGTAAGATTTTGGTTCCTTCTCTTTTACCCAGAATGTGCTGGTATAATAAAGTTGACAGCATAGAACATTGGCACAGTTTAATGGGGGAAGGGAAGCAAATTTGCTGCCAAAGATGCAGCTGAAAAAAAATGGGCAAAACAGGAAGTGACTCTTGAATTTGTGTGCTCTGAATTATTGAAATGGAGCGTTTTCCTTTGTCAGTTCAGGTACTCCAATCAAAAAGTGATTGTAGTCCTACTGCATTGCACAGGGAACCATATTCAATATCCCGTGACAAACCATAATGGAAAATTATTTATATATATATATGTATGTATAACTGAGTCATTTTGCTGTACTGAGAAATTAATACAGCACTATAAATCAACTATACTTGAATAAAACTGTTTTAAAAAGGTGATGTAAGTGGTAGAAGTTTTTGGATTCCCAGAGGCAGCGGAGTCATGTTTCTGTTTAGTTAGCCAAACCCTAAGCCAAGAGAACCCAGGAGAGAAAGCTCCCCAGGATGTGTGAGGCAGGTGTCTTGAGGCATGATGGCACAGAGAGGCTTCCAAACCTTCAGCGGGGGCCAGGAACCAGGAGTGCAGGATTAGACCCAGGGATTCAGTCCACCTGCAGAGCTGACTTGGGAAGTACTCTCGGTTGCCACACTAATGCCAGACTGCACTTTCCTGCCCCTATAAAAGATGCTCTTGCTGCATCCTCACTGCAGATATTCCTGACCAGAAAGCTTGTGGAGTCCCAGAATCATACATCAGAGATCAGTGACCAGCGCATCCGCGTGACCAGTGAAGTTCTCACCAGCATTAAGTTGATTAAAATGTACTCCTGGGAGAAGCCATTTACAAAAGTTATTAAAGGTACAGGATATCTGGCTTTCTGCTCTGAGCCTGGGATGTCATGGTGGACTGAGTCTTTCACTTTCTGGGGATTCTTTCATGTTCTGGGGCTTGATCTAGGCTCCTGGGAGAATGTTCTGGTGATTCATTTCAGACTTTTTGAATTTTCCAGATCTCAGAAAAAAGGAAACAAAGCTCTTGCAGAAGTGTGGGTTTATGCAGAGCCTGAGCACAATCATCTTGTTCCTAGCCCCCTCCTTATCTATGGTATTGCTGTTCCTCTCCCACACAGGCTTACGATTGAAACTCACAACTTCAGTAGTAAGTGCTGGGGTACTTTGTTTGCTCCCTCATATTGATAGGGAGTTTTCTCATGTATCCTTTTCCAGTCCATGCCCCCTGAAAGATCTAGAGGTTTTGTAAATGAATAATACAAATGAATCTTGATTTTCCAGACTGTTAGGGTCTTGAGCATTCTTCCATTTTAGTCCATACGTGGAGCTGATATCCCCTGCATAGCAGCTGTGGGGGCAGGGGTGGGGTGGGGAATGGCCATCATCTGGGGGTACAGTGGAGGTGAAATGTGTAGTTAAAACCCAGATGATGCTGAGGTTGAAAATCCTGAAGCGGGGAGCTCCTGTGATCTCAAGATAGGGCCCTGAAAATGCATTTTAAATGCAGAGGTCTGGCTTCTTCTGTCTTTTCTTTTGTGGTCTGACGCTGGTCTTGGGGAACAGCAGCTGCCTTTCAAGGTTAGGAATTTGATTATTTGAGAATAAGACAGAGGGCTGCTTTAGAGGCTTCCCAGGTGCTCAGTGGTAAAGAATCCATGGGTTTGATCCCTGGGTTGGGAGGATCCCCTGGAGAAAGACATGGCAACCCACTCTAGTATTCTTGCCTGGAGAGTCACATGGACAGAGGAGCCTGGCAGGCTACAGTCCATGGGATCGCAAAGAATCGGACATGACTTTGTGACTAAACAACAACGACAAAGCAGCTCTTAGAGAGGTTAGAATCCAACCAGAAAGCCCAGGAGATTGCACCTGACATAAGAGAGGTAGCATTTGACAGTCTGCAGCCAAGGGCTTGTTGGTGCTCCAGACGGCAGTCACCTCTGCTACCCCGGCACACACCAAGGAACACCCCAGCGAGTCATTGGGTGGCAGGAAGACTGTGTAAGGAGAATGCTCAGTGGAACTTTAAGGTCACACTGCACTTATACCACCCCAGGTTAGACCAAAGGTTAGACTGAAGCTCTGTTGGAGTTGAGGTTAATCTGTACCAAGAAGAGGGTAGAGATGGGGCATGAGCTGCATGAATTGGAAGGTTCCCAGGGTACCTCCAGGAGGTCATTCTCTGGGATCCTGAGAACAAAGGGTGGTCTGCTACAGTCAGGAAAAGTCTACTGACAGGGTGGGGTGAGGCATGGATGAAGCTTGATGCTTAGGGAGTTGTGTTTTTTTTCCTAAATTTTTATTGGATTGTAGCTCATTTACAATACTTTGTGACTAAACAACAACGACAAAGCAGCTCTTAGAGAGGTTAGAATCCAACCAGAAAGCCCAGGAGATTGCACCTGACATAAGAGAGGTAGCATTTGACAGTCTGCAGCCAAGGGCTTGTTGGTGCTCCAGACGGCAGTCACCTCTGCTACCCCGGCACACACCAAGGAACACCCCAGCGAGTCATTGGGTGGCAGGAAGACTGTGTAAGGAGAATGCTCAGTGGAACTTTAAGGTCACACTGCACTTATACCACCCCAGGTTAGACCAAAGGTTAGACTGAAGCTCTGTTGGAGTTGAGGTTAATCTGTACCAAGAAGAGGGTAGAGATGGGGCATGAGCTGCATGAATTGGAAGGTTCCCAGGGTACCTCCAGGAGGTCATTCTCTGGGATCCTGAGAACAAAGGGTGGTCTGCTACAGTCAGGAAAAGTCTACTGACAGGGTGGGGTGAGGCATGGATGAAGCTTGATGCTTAGGGAGTTGTGTTTTTTTCCTAAATTTTTATTGGATTGTAGCTCATTTACAATGTTGTGTTAGCAAAGTGAATCAGATATATCAATTCTTTTTCAGATTTTTTCCCTATGTAGCTCATTACAGAATATTGAATAGAGTTCCCTGTGCTATATAGTTGGTCCTTGTTAGTTATCTATTTTATATATAATAGTGTGTACATGTTAATCCCAACTTCCTAATTTATCTCTTCCTCCCACGTTTCCCCTTTGAAAACCATAAGTTTAATTTTGAGATCAGTGAGTCTGTTTCTGTTTTGTGAATAAGTACATCTGTATCATTTTAAATTAGATTCCACATATAAATGATGTCATATGCTGTTTGTCTTCCTCTGTCTGACTTACTTCACTTAGTATGGTAATCTTTAGATTCATTCATGTTGCTGCTAATGGCCTTATTTCATTCTGTTGTATGACTGAATCATATTCCATTGAATGTATGTACCGCATCTTCTTTATTCCTCTGTCATTGGACACTTGGGTTCCTTCCATGTCTTGGCTATTGTGAATAGTGCTTCCATGAACATTGTGGTCTATATATCATTTCAAATTATGGTTTTCTCTGAATATACGCCCAAGAGTAAGATTGCTGGGTAATATGGTAGTTATATATATGTGTGTGTGTATTTAAGAGACCTCCACATTGTTTTCCATAATGGCTGTACCAATTTACATTCCCACCAACAGTGTAGGAGGATTCCCTTTTCTCTACATCCTCTCAGTATTATTATTTATAGATTTTGATTTATTTGTTTTTAATTGAAGGATAATTGCTTTACAGTATTACGTTTGTTTCTACCAAACATCAACATGAATCAGCCATAGGTTTATCCATGTCCCTTCTCACTTGAACATCCCTCCAACATCCCTCCCTATCCCACCCCTCTAGGTTGTTACAGAGTCCCAGTTTGAGTTCCCTGAGCCATACAACAAATTTTCATTGGCTATCTATTTTGCATTTGGTAATGTATGTTTCCATGTTACTCTCCATACCTCCCACCCTCTCCTTCTTCCCTCTCCATCTGTCTATAAGTCTGTTCTCATTGTATCTCTACTGTTGCTCTGCAAATAGGTTCATCAGTACCATCTTTCTAGATTCCATATATATGTATTAGTATACCATAACTGTTTTTCTCTTTCTGACTCACTTCACTCTGTATACTAGGTTCTAGGTTCATTCACCTCATTAGGACTGACTCTCAAATGTGTTCTTTTTTATGGCTAAGTAACATTGCATTGTAAATATGGACCACAGCTTCTTTATCCATTCATCTGTTCATGGACATCTAGGTTGCTTCCATGTCCTAGCTATTATAAATAGAGCTGCAATGAACATTGGGTTACATATGTCTTTTTCAATTTTGGTTTCCTCAGGGTATGTGCCTAGTAGTAGGATTGCTGGGTCATATGGTAGTTTTATTCTTAGTTGTTTTTTTTTTTTTAAGGCATCTCCATGCTTTTCTCCATAGTGGCTGTATAAATTTTCTTTCCAACCAACACTGCAAGAGGGTTCCCTCTTCTCCACACCCTCTCCAGCATTTATTGTTTGTAGATTTTTTGATTATGGCCATTGTGACCAGTGTGAGGTGATACCCCATTGTAGTTTTGATGTGCATTTCTCTAATAATTAATGGTGTTGAACATCTTTTCATTTTTTTTTTTTTGTCATCTATCTGTGTTCTTTGGAGAAATGTCTGTTTAGATCTTCTGCCTATTTTTTGATTTTTTTTCTTTTATTGAGCTGCATGAGCTGTTTGTATATTTTGGAGATTAATCCCTTTTAACAACAGTAATAGTTCAAAGCTATGTCACTGGTAGCTGTCTGGGTAATTTTTCAGTGCTTCCCAACTATTCCTGTACCACCGTTAGGATTTGGGGCATTTTGCCAATGGGGAAACTGTGGTGAGAGTGACCTGTCTGAGTTAAGGAATTACCCAGTAGCTAAGCTATAAGTGCTGCCAGGCCTTCACTCAGTGACTTTAAGATGAATGCTCTTTCCCACTTTTCCTCGTCTTCCCGAAATACCACATGAAGGACCTGCTTGCTGGAAGCTGCAGGTCTGGCTTTGCAGCTTGAGGCTCTGGGATGGGGTCTTCCTTGGGATGGGGAAGCAGGACAGTATTGAGACACTCACCACCTCCTCTCTGCCTCATCCAGGCCTTCACCACTGTGGCCACCTTGAATCCCTTGAGGCTGTCAGTGTTCTTAGCACCCTTCGCCGTCAAAGGCCTCACAAACTCCAGGTCTGCTGCGGACAGGTTCAAGGTGAGTGGTCAGAGGTCTGACCATCCAACCCTTTACTCCATGTTCTCGTTTGCCTTCAGCCCTATGACGTTCCTCCTGAGTGTGACCCCAGGCCAGGCAGAGTCCAGCCTAGATGGAGAGGGACCATCTAACTCAGTGACCCCCTATGCCTGGGCTGGTGTGGGGCTGGGAAGACAGATGAGTCAGGCTAGTTCCCAGGCCCCAGGGACATTCTAGGACACAGATCCAAACCACATCTCAGACAGGTGACCTGCAGACCCTGCTCAGGTGTGGGTAGAGTTACCGTGATGGTTTAGGTTTTTTAAAAATTATATCTGTTGCTGGCATTTAAAAAACTGGAAATTATATATTAAAAACTCAGATTTCTGGATATTCTTGAATAATCAGAAGATCTGGCAATAGTGGACCCACATTATTCTGTGGCCACAGCAGCTCTAGCTGAGGTGATAGCTGCCCCTCATTTAGTCAGGGAATTCAGGTGGAGTTTGCAGCCTCCACCATGCCATAGCATACCTCCAGGCCTGGGCCTTACTTTCCATCCATCATCTCGGCAATGGTTCACTTCTTTACATTTCTGGTCGTGTTCCTATAGGCATCGAAGAAAAACTCTAAACCAATTTCTAAAAGCATTTTATAGTCCTCTCTCTTAAATGTATGCAGTCCCCAATCTATATCATCCATTCACTCATACATTTATTAAAAAAAAAATTGCCAAGAAGTTTCCTGGCAGTCCAGTGGTTAAGACTCTACACTTTCACTGCTGTTGCTCTGATTCAATCCCTGGCAGGCAACTTAGATCCTACAAGTTACACAACGTGGCTTAAAAGAAAAAAGAAAAACAAAAATTAATGAACACTAGGCAAGGAGAACACCACAGTGAGGACAACCAGTATGGTTCCTGCTCTCAGAGGGTTATAATTGTTACTGAGTCTAGGCTCACTCCACTCACCACACGACAGGTCAGTTAATCAAGACACGAGGTGTTGAGGCAAGGAATACAACTTTGTTTGGAAAGTTGGCAGACTGAGAAGATGTCAGAATAATGTCTCAAAATAACCATCCTGTTGGGGTCTGGATGCCAGGTTCTTTTATAGAACAGAGATAGGGGAGGTGAGGAAGTAAAAATGACTGTTGGTTTTACAAATATCTCCTGGCATGGCTAGACTTGGGGAGGAGATGTGTTAATTTTTTCCTTCCTGTAGCCATCCACAAGTGGACGGGGTCCTGTACAAAGGCATTCTGGTTTAACATTCAAGCAGAAGGGCAGGGTTCCCTGAGGCAGGCCATTATGTACAAGCAGTATCCTTTTAGTGGATAAAAGCAAGGTGAAGTGAAAGGTTAAAGTAAAAAAACCAGATCCAATATGGAGTCAGGTCTTTTCTGTAGTGTAATATGGTATTGGAAACAGGTGATGTACAAGTGAATTAACCATCAGAGAAGATAACATTAGCTCACGTGAAGGGCTGTGGTGCTAATAAAGCAGAGTGATGTTCTGGAGTGCATGCTGGGGAAGGCTGGGGCCACAGTGGTCAGGGACCACTCTCTCCCAAGGAGAGGTTTGGGTTGAGTGATAATGACGAAGCAGAGAGGACAGCAAGTACAAAAGCCCTGAGGCTGGAATGGACTTGGTTTGTCCGAGTAACACCAGTTCTTGACTTATCAACAGCCTCAGGAGCTCCCTAACTTCTCAGCTTCAGTTGCTGGGGCCTCTGCTGCTTCCTCTTCCCCTCTGGAGGAGTTCTCCTGCCCTAGTTCTTCTGCCCTCCCCTTCCATGCCTGTTTCCACCTGCAGGAGATGAGGAGGCTACAGCCCGGGCTCAGAAAGGTGGGTAGGGATGCTGGCAGCAGGATGACCAAGGAGACAGCTACAGGGCAGGGAAGGGGGTGGGATGGATGCAGGAGGAGAGGAGGAGGCTGGAAGGGGAAGTTCAGGGCAAAGCTACGGTTTTTCCAGTAGCCATGTACGAATGTGAGAACTGGACACAAAGGAGGCTGAGCACTGAAGATTTGACGCTTTCAAATTGTGGTGCTGGAGAAGACTCTTGAGAATCCCTTGGACTACAAGGAGATCAAACCAGTGAATCCTAAAGGAAATCAACCCTGAATATTCATTAGAAGGACTGATGCTGAAGCTGAAACTCCAGTACTTTATCTACCTGATGCAAAGAGCCAGCTCACTGGCAAAGACTATGATGCTGGGAAGGACTGAGGGCAGGAGGAGAAGGGGACAACAGGGTTAGGGTTAGGGTTGAGACAGTTGGATGGCATCACTGACTCAATGAACATGAGTTTGAGCGAATTCCAGGAGATAGTGAATGACAGGGAAGCCTGGCATGCTGCAGTCCATGGGGTCGCAAAGAGTTAGACACGACTTAGCAACTAAACACCAGCAAGAGGGCAAAGATCTCCCTGGGCTGTACTTCCTCAAGGCCTCAAGGGGCTGGGGCTGTTATGCTGGACAGATACTAACCCTCCGAGTCCCTTCACTTCCAGACCTCTTTTCAGTCACCTGTGTTTTCCATCTGATGCATAGGCGTTTGTCTTTGAGATCCTCAGGCTGCAAAGGGCAGGAGAGATCTCTAAGGCCAGATTGTTTCCTTCTCCTCTGTTCCCCTCAGGGCTGTACTGAGGAGTCACCTTGGGGGTGGGGCAGGGAGAAGAAAGCTGCAGGCCCTCAGGAAGGCTGCCTCCATGCAGTGGCCACCGGTAGGAGGCCAGCTGGCTGCTGGGTACTGGCCAGGCTGCACCCTGGGGCTCCAGACAAGGCCCCACGGTGGGCAGCACTCCAGACCACATTTTCCTTTGCACTGGTTATTAAAAAAAAAAAAAAAGAGTGAAAAGTCACTGAATGGCATCATTAAAGTTACAGATTGAGAATTTGCTTAGAGCATTTGGGGGTCACCCCAGAACCCAGTTTGTTGGTGTCGATTTATGTCCAGATGCATGCTTGTTACACTGATATACTAAGGCAGTGTGCTCCTTTTTTGTTTTTTGTTTTTTTTTAAGCAAGGGAATGAAAACCACAAATCTGGGGACAGTGGTTGCCCAAGGGGAGGGCTTGGAAAGAGGGGGTTGCTTTGTCTCACCAAGAGGGGGATGAGATGGGGAAGGACCCCACTGATCGGTAAAAGTCATGGCTCCTGGGTCCGCTGGTGGGCTCACAGATATTCAGTATGTTATTAAAAAATTGCCCAACTAGCTAAATGAAATAAAGTGGGCCATGCAGTTCCTGCTGATGACTATATGCCTTGACCCAAATATTATAGTTAATTCATTTCAATGTACCCGAGGTTCAATTTAAAAAAATAAACAAACTGCCTCTCTTTTTCTAAATTTTATTTTATGTTAGAGTATAGTTGATTTACAATGTTGTATTGGTTTCAGGGATACAACAAAGTGATATAATTTGTATAGGTTATTACAGAATATTGAGTGGAGTTCCCTGTGCTATACAATAGGTCCTTGTTGATTATCTATTTTAAATAGAGTAGTATGTATGTGTTAATTCCAAACTCCTAATTTATCCCTCCCTCTACCTTTCTCCTTTGGTGACGATACATTTGTTTTCCAAGTCTATGAGTCTGTTTCTGTTTTGTAAATAAAATTCATTTGTATCTTTTTTTTTTTAGATTCTGGATTTACTTCACTTAGTATGATAATCTCTAGGTCCATCCATATTGCTACATGTGGCATTATTTCTTTTATTCTCCTGAAAATAGCTTTTTGTTGTGTTTTTGTGAAATGCTATATACTCATTGCAAAGGTTCAGACAAGGCAAAAAGATACAGAGAATAAAGATCACTCAGCATTTACTACCAAGAGATAAAATTAATTGTCCAAAATGTCCACAAGTGTCTTTCTAGATCTCTTTCTGAGTATGTCCCGGTGGAGAAATGCAAATATAATTTGATCAGTGAGATCATACTTCCAACCACCTTTTTTTGGTGCTAGAATTTTTGTAGTTCAACTCTTATTTCTTACAGACAGTGAGATGGAGGTGTGGAGAAAAGTGACCTGCCAATACATTTTGAAATATATGACCCAAACAGCATTTTGCGCAGAGTCATGCCTGGACATACCTTTTTACTTTTAATACTTAGAAATGAAAGTTAATGAGAAAAACCACACATCAGTATTATGTTTCAACAGCTCTTACCACTTAAGACAAGGCTAATGTAGGTTATGCCACTAGTTAATGTAAATTAAAATGGAAAAGAACTCATAGTACAGGAAGGATACAGATGTGAAAGAACGGTCCAGTAGTCTGAGACTTGGAAAACCCTGATGTGGAATTTTCACCAGCAAAAACTAGCCTCTTCTAATTGATGGTGGTTCTTCAGACTTCTTGGTTTATTAAAAGTTCATAAATCAGACCAGTTGGCAAGCCAGTAAAACAGGTACGTGTTCCCACTGGACTAAAGAACTAAATTCCTCCCCACTTCCTTTCCTTGTTTTTTTTTTTTTTTTTCTGGTACAGAAATTCTTCCTCCAAGAGAGCCCTGTCATGTATGTTAAGGCATTGGAAGACCCCAGCAAGCCAGTGGTTTTAGAGGAGGCCACATTGTCATGGAGAAAGATTTGCCCTGGGATCGTCAATGGAACCTTGGAGCTGGAGAAGAACAGATACACTCCCGAGGGCATGACCAGAGCTCAGCCACCTCCGGGTGGCCTTGGGCCAGAGGACCAAGGGGATACCCGGGGCCCAGAGTTGCACAAGATAAACCTGGTGGTGTCAAAGGTAGCCTCCTCTGGTCCACGCAGGCAGGCTGATGGCCTGACTTTTAGGGCCTAAGACTGGGAGACTGGCCTCACGCACCACCATTTCCTTGGCTAAAAACTGCCCTCTCCAAGATCTCCCTTTAAAATAGAAAATTTCCATAGAAAGACAAAGAGATGAGAGAAAATTTCCATGGAGGACAAATACGAAGTCTTTTATACTTAAGTGTAAATCAGATGATCATCTAAACTGTTTTGTAATAGCATGACCTAGAATAGCAAGCTGTATGTTCACTGGTCTTTGGAGGGACCAAGGATAAAGGAAGAAGGCTAAACTAACGTTTATTAAATTCCTAGTGTGTGCCAAGCACTGTGCTATATCTTTCAATTTGGTTATTCTGTGAACTGACATCACTTGGCTTCTTCTCTGACTAATATTTGCAACAGCTGGCTTCTCTGCTCTGTCCAAATCTCTTCTCTATTATCTCATATCTGTTAAAGTATAATAGATATTAATATCTAATAATCATATAGATATAGAATATAGACATTGATCTATATCTATTGATAGATATATCTAAAATAGATACAAATATCTAATAGTAATCAATATTGACATCTAGTAATAATAAACATTAATATCTAATATTAGTGTTATATCTATATTTTCCCCCTTGGTGGTCACCTGCAGTCCCACGGCTCTAGGTTCCACCTCTATGGTGTTATTATCTCTAGCCTTGTAGTTTCCTCTGAGTTTCAGACTTAACTCTCTGTTTATTACCTCCTGTTCAATGCCTAGCAGAGATTTCAAACAAACAAGACCAAAAAAGAACTTGGTTTTCACCCTCTCTGACCCATTTTCCAGGTCTTCTCCATCTCTGGAGGTGGCATCACCATCTTTCCAGCGATTAAGGTCCTAGAAATCAAACTTGATTCCTTTCCTTTCCTCCCACCCATCCAGTCTCCATCAGCGAGGCCTGGAAGCTCTCCATCAGCATCTTTCCTGGACCAGACTCATCTCACCACAGCCCCCTCCACGGCCCTCACCGCAGCCACCAGCATGCCATGCGCAGCTCTTCTAAGATCCTCAGTAGCCTCTCTGCTTCCGCTTTTGCCCTCTTACAGTCCATCTCACATGGTGGACAGAGGGAGCCTTCTAAAACAAACCAATTCAAGCCAGTCTTCCGGTTAAGTCCTTCAGTGACTTTCCACTGCACTTAGGAGAGAGTCCAGGTTTCTCCGAGCACCTGCCCACGTCGCCAACCTTTTCTCTCATTCGTTCCCTCCACAGCAGCCCTCTCGCCGCTTTTTGTCAGTCGCCTTGTTCCCGTCTCAGGACCTTTGCCCCTCATGTTCCCATGGTGTGAAACCTTCAGATCTTCTCTCTCACTCCTTCTTGTCATTCAGGTCTCAGCTGCAATGACACATGCTCTTATGATGCCTTCCCTGGCCAGCCCATCTAACACTGCTTTAACCTCCAGCTGTCCTGGTAGCCAATTTATTTAATTTATACCACTTACCACCATCTGTTTTCTTTGTTTTGTTATTTATTTCATGGTTGTTCTCTTCCCACTAGTTGTAAACTTAATGAGAGTTCTTTTCTTCATTGCTTGGTACACAGAAGAAACGCACATGACTATTCGATGGATGAATGAATGAATGAATGAAGGGATATATGCCAAACTGGCTTCGTTATCCCCATTTTACAGATGAGGAAACTGAGGCATAGAGAGTCTAAGTGACTTGCCCAGGATCATAGAGTGGAATAGATGTAGATCTGGAGTTTGGGTTTCATACCTGACAGGACCATCTATGCATACTTCCTTTCTGCCACCCTCATGCAATTTCCTTCCTCTGAGGTTGCCCCATCCCACCTGTGTACACTGACCTCTCAGCTTGTCTTGAGCTTTGTCTGAGGGGCCTTGGGGTGCGTGTAGCTGTTTTCTGTTTGTCATTTTGCATAAAAGACAATAGACCTGTCCTGGGCAAGTCACCTGTCCCAACGCCTGTCTGTCCTCACGCCTGTCTGTCCTCTTTGGCTTTGCAGGGCACCATGCTAGGGGTCTGCGGCAACATGGGAAGTGGCAAGAGCAGCCTGCTGTCAGCCATCCTGGGGCAGGTGAGTGTCTTGTGGCCCATGCATGCACCCCCACCCCACTGAGGGCCAGGAACTCCCAGGTTCCAGTTCCCCCAGCAAGTCACACCACCACTTCTTTCCCACAAAGGGGTCTAAGCCAATAGAATTTTTACAAATTCAAAACAGTTGAGCATGTGCTGTGGGGGAGGTGCATTATGAATGTGCTTCCATTTCACCTTCCAACTGGGAGAACCACTTCTTAGGACACCTGGAGAGCTATCCTCATCTGTTTTCTGTGCTTTCCCCACCCTTTGCTGTAATCAAGCAGCTACCAAGGTGATGATACAGGGCATCTCGATGCTTAACATGATAACACAAATCATCTCCTGAAGCCAAACTCGGAGTGGGACATGTGTCAGTAAGGAGACAGCATCAGGCCCTTGAAATCTGAACCATCTAATCGCATTGCCTTGGGACATTCTTGAGGTCTGCTTTATCTGCAGCTATGCAGGCATGTGACTCAGCCCACTTCTCCAGTTTCCAAGACCAGCCCCTTCCCCCCCAGACATCGAGGTCATGTTGCACATCTCCTAGTGAACAACAAAAAACAGCCATGACACCTGGTGTGTGTCCATGGCCCCCTTACCACGGGGGATCTCTCCAGCCCTTCCACACTCAGCCTCAGCCTCACTGTGTCCTAGGGCTTCTCTCCTACCCCCTCCCAACTTTGTCCATTGTCCTCCTTCCCACATGATTGGGAGAATCCCCACTTTTTTTTTTTTTTTAATAAAAATAGTTTGAATGGTACTTGAATGCCAGGCCCTCTGTTCAGAGCTTCCCATTTTCTCCCTTGGCCCCCAACCCAAAAACAACTCCACGACGAAGGCACAGACATTGAGGTCAGTTTACCGATGAGTAAATGAGGCTGAGAGAGGTGACTTGCCCACAGCTGCCAGAAGGTGAGGGATGCAGCCAGGGAGGACACCAGTCCAGCTGATGTCAGAGCTTAGCTTCTCATCACAGCTACATTTTCCAGCAGCTTCCATTCAGGGCCACCTTTCTACGTGGCCGGGGGCTTGTTGCTTCAAATGAACCAATCACTTAGCTTCCCATAAAGGAAAACAAAGAGATGTCATTTGAACATTTAGTTCTTATTAAAGCCTGTCTTCAATTCAGAAGTAGGAAGCACAGGATAAGAAGAGAAAGAAGCATAGGATCATGAGGTCCTCTGCTGGGGTCATGGGCAAGAGGGTTGTGGCCTTGATTCTTTTTAAATGTGTGCTTTTAAATCTACCCTGCAGAAAAGAAGGAAGAACACTACGGTAAAGATCCGTATACCCACCACTGAGATTCAGGAGTTGATAGCATTTGTATATTTGCCACATCTATGTAGAAACTTTGTAGAACCATTATTTGTTTATTTTTTGGTAGCCCTATTTTAAATTACAATGATTATGACACTTTCCCCACTAATGCTTCACCACGATGTCCAAAAAGTAAAGGCATTTCCTCATCTAACCATGATGACATTATCCCACCCACAAATCAGTAATAATTCTGTGATACTCAGGGATGGACAGAGGTGGCCTGGAGCTTTCCATCTAATAGCAAAGAACAGGGAGGCACTGCTTGCTAGGGATTGGGGCTGGGTAAACAAGAGAAAAAAGTGTGAGTGACTTCAATGCGAACCTTGCCTTCAGTCACAGTAGGAGCAGATCTGGCTTTCCCCAACTACTGCCCACGCTCTCAGGGCCTTCACCAGTGGGCCTGGCAGGATCCTGTTAAGAGTTCGTTTACACAGGAGAGCCCCAGGCTCCTGGAGCGCAGTGGAGCCCTGGGCACTGTGGCTGCTGAGCTGAGGGGGATCTGTTCCCTGGCTGCCACGGTCCTGAGGCTGGACTCACTCCGCCACAGATGCACTTGCTGGAGGGTTCAGTGGGGGTGCACGGAAGCCTGGCCTATGTGCCCCAGCAGGCCTGGATCATCACGGGGAGTGTCCGGGAGAACATCCTCATGGGAAGCCAATATGACAAGGCCTGGTGAGCTTCTCTGAGGTGCAGGGCGGGGCGTGGGGGCGTGGGGCTGGTTGGGAGAGGGGCCTCTTGCTGCTAATAATGACTATGTGCTCACTTACATGCATCACTGTATTTCCTTCTCACTGGGAAGGAAAGATTCTCATCATATCCATTTTCTAGCAAATCGGCTGAGGCCCCCAAGAGACTGAATAATTTGCCCAAAGTTGTTGAGCTGCTAGGATATGGTAGAGTCAGAATCTGAACCCAGTTGCTTTCAGAAACTTCATGCTAAGTCGCTTCAGTCGTGTCCTACTCTGTGTGACCCTATGGACTGTAGCCCACCAGGCTCCTCTGTCCATGGGATTCTCCAGGCAAGAATACGAGTGGATTGCTGTGCCCTCTGCAGGGAGTCTTCTCAACCCAGGGATCGAACCCGTGTCTCACACCTCCTGCAATGGCAGGCGGGTCCTTTACCACTAGTGCCCCCAGACTTAACTATTATGCTCCTTGGGCTCAAAATAACCCTCCCCTTCCAAAAGTGTTACTTTGAAACTTTGTTTGTGTTAATTAATTCCTGACCTAAGAAGGAAAAGTCAAAAGCTAAAACAAGTGGCTGATGTGCACCAGTAGAGGAAGGAGTTTGGATTCCCAGTCAGGTGGGCCACCTACCTCGGCCCACACCCTCCTTGCCCTTTGCGGCCTCTCCCTCCGGAGTCCTGGGTGGATCTGCTTGAGACATGCGCTTGGAAATCATGAGCAAAGTCTGGTCAGTGGAGGAGCCAGGAAAACTGCTCTGATTGCTGCAGCTGTGCTTCCAACTCTGCTGGACTCTGGCCCCTTTTGACTCTTTGCCTGATTTTGCAATCTGCCTGTTGTAACCTTGCTGAAATGCACAGATATGTGGTGTATAAACCAGCCATCTCCAGCCGGTTGTCCTGGGAGCTCCTCAACATCAGGTCCAATGCGCCCAGCCCCCACCCCACCTGCTTGTCCTCCCAAATTCCCAATTAGGCTAAATGGCATCACTGACCTGTGCACCCCGGGAGCACAGGTTGGCCCTGCCTCCTCTGAGAACCACCTCCTCCTTCCACATCTAATTGGTCAGCAACCCTGGAAGACTCAACCTCCTAAATAGCTCTGGTATAATACTTCCCCTCTCCACCTCCACTGCCAGCTCTGGTCTATGACCTCCTGCTTGAATGGTGCCCACTGCCCCGCTCTTGGCTCCCTGTCTCCAGCCTTCTCCCACGCTGTTCAACTCCGTGCCCTGCCTCCAGGGCAGCCGTCCTAAAAGCCCAGTCTCATCCTGTCATTGCTCAGCTTTCAGACTGACCTGACTCATAGAGCAGTTTGTCAAAAATAAAAACACACTACCTTTTGACTCTGAAAATTCACCGCTAGATAGTTAATGCATATAGCGTCACCCATGAATGCTAAGATCCATGTACAAGAATGTTCATATCGAATTATTCAGGATAGCCAAAAACTAGCCACAATCCAAATGTCCAGCATTTGGTTAAACAGTGCATGGTGCTACCCTATACTGGATTACTGTAGTGCCATTAAAACAATATAAACCTATGTCTACTGCACATACACATACATCACTAGATTATTTCTGAAAACATACAGAGGAAACTCTATTAGTGACTGATTCAGAGGAGAGCAGCCGAGGGTCAATGATGCGAGGGAGACTCACTCTTCACCTTTCCTTCTTTTTGTTCTGTTCAAACATTTACCAAGTGCCCCTGCTGGATTTAAAAAAAAAAAAAAAAGTGAAGGAAGGAAACAAAAAAAGCCTCCTGTGATTTACCATTAATTGCAGAATCAAGGCCCAGTTTTTCAGCTTGGAATGCAGGACCTTCCCTCCCAAACTCGAGAAGGCCGGAGGGCCTGCGGCCGGCCGCCTGTCCCTTAGCTCCCTGTCCTCCGCAGGTATCTCCAGGTGCTCCACTGCTGCTCCCTGAACCACGACCTGGAGATCCTGCCCTTCGGAGACATGACGGAGGTGAGCGGGAGCCGAGGGCACCCCAGCTGTGTTGTGATGCTGCCTTTGTCATGGTGTACTGGGGTCCCCAGCCTGCCTCCCTGGGCAGGTAGACGAGGGACCCCCGCTCTTCCTCACAAAGCCACCGAAGCCGGTCCTGCAGCCTCAGAGCCTTCCCTACCAAGGGAAGGAAGGTGGGGCTCAGCTGACCTTGGGAGCTGACAAACAGGCTACCTTGCCCCACCAGAATGGGAGTTGATCTCAGACTTTTTCTGAATCAAGAGCAGAGACCCTGTGAGGATGAGAAGCCCCCCGTCATCCACCTTTGCCCCTCCCACCACCCTGGCCCCTCTCTAGAGCGCTTCCTTTGACGGTGGGGATGGCAGCTGTAGCCCCGCTCTAGCAATGCCGGTTCTGACTGCTAGGTGTTCCTGATAATTCTCCATCTTTCACATCAGTAGCCACCTTTACTCTACATGAGACCTTTGTAAGATAAAAGCAGTATGGTTGCCTTGATTTTATTATCTGATAATAGCTCAGTTGGCTGAGCACTCACTCCATTCAAGGTACTGTTCTAGCAATGCTAATATATTAGGTGAGCCTCAGATAACCTATGAGGTCAGTTCTTTTATTATCCTTCCTTTAATGATCAGCAATGTACCCTGGAGGGCAGAGAGCTTGGTTGTTCTTCTTCCCCTTCAGTAGGAAGAACCAGCTCTGGTCTGTAAAATGCATCAGTAATAGTTTTGACCTCATCAGGATGATTTGGGGTCTAGGTGAGTTGATACATACTTGCTCTGAATAGTGCTTGGTGTAGGGTAAGTGTTAGGCTGTCATTAGAGGAACACAGTAGGCATTTAAGTCTGCCGAGTGAGTAAGGAAACTGAGCTTCACCCAGGCCAAGCCCCTTATCTACGGTCACATGTGAACTGGAGGCAGAGCAGAGAAAAAAGGTCACCCCACTGCTCTTTAAACTTTGCTTCTCCTCTACAATGTCACCCGAGTTCAGGGTCGAGCAGGGATAGAACTTGGACCCTGGCTGTCACGTCCTCAGGACCTGACATAGGGATGGGCCAGCCCGCCCCTGCCTGAAGTGCTAGCCTGCTAGGGGACTCCAGACCCACTACCCAGCGATTCTGGTTAGCACCCTCGACTCCTGACATGACAAACCCGCCTACCACCTCAGCTATAATACACTCTTGGTCTTGGGCAATACCCCTAACCCAGGCCAGTGATCCCACCAGTTGACATTTACAGTCAACAGGAATTTAAAGCCATTGTAAAATGTAAGGAGGTGCTGTTTCTTGGGAATAAGCAATTTATTTTTATGAGCTAAACTGTTAAAAGTTTAATTTGCTTCCTGACAAGCCAACCAATTTAGAAAAAAATATATCTTATCATGAATGGCAAATTTCAGTTAACTGAACGTCAGTTTTATCATCCCTTACTAGGCATATTGTGAAAAATATTTTTATTTTCTTTTTACTTAATTATGAATTCTTGTTTGTGCTGGGTCTTCCTTGCTGCACCCAAGCTTTCTCTAGTTGCAGTGAGCAGGGGCTACTCTCTAGTTGCAGTGCTCGGCCTTCTCATTGTGCTGGCTTCTTTTGTCACTGAACACAGGCACTAAGGGCTCCCAGAGTTCAGTAGTTGCAGCCTGCGGGCTCTCGAACACAGGTTCAGTAATTGCGGCACATGGGTTTAGTTGCCTGGTGGCACGTGGAAGCTTTCTAGACCGGGGATCGAACTCACATCCCCTGTGTTGGCAGGTGGACTGTTAACCACTGGGAAGTCGAGATTGTGAAAAATATTTTGAGTGCCAGGGGTGTCAAATCATTAGGGTCCAGGAGTGTGCACCGAGGGAGGTTAGTCTGTCCACCTGCCCACCTGGCTGGTGGGGGCACCCTTGGCTGGGTCTCCCTCCAGACACGGTGCCTTTGGCTGCCTGTCCACAGATTGGGGAGCGGGGCCTCAACCTCTCACTCTACAATGTCACCCGAGTTCAGGGTCGAGCAGGGATAGAACTTGGACCCTGGCTGTCACGTCCTCAGGACCTGACATAGGGATGGGCCAGCCCGCCCCTGCCTGAAGTGCTAGCCTGCTAGGGGACTCCAGACCCACTACCCAGCGATTCTGGTTAGCACCCTCGACTCCTGACATGACAAACCCGCCTACCACCTCAGCTATAATACACTCTTGGTCTTGGGCAATACCCCTAACCCAGGCCAGTGATCCCACCAGTTGACATTTACAGTCAACAGGAATTTAAAGCCATTGTAAAATGTAAGGAGGTGCTGTTTCTTGGGAATAAGCAATTTATTTTTATGAGCTAAACTGTTAAAAGTTTAATTTGCTTCCTGACAAGCCAACCAATTTAGAAAAAAATATATCTTATCATGAATGGCAAATTTCAGTTAACTGAACGTCAGTTTTATCATCCCTTACTAGGCATATTGTGAAAAATATTTTTATTTTCTTTTTACTTAATTATGAATTCTTGTTTGTGCTGGGTCTTCCTTGCTGCACCCAAGCTTTCTCTAGTTGCAGTGAGCAGGGGCTACTCTCTAGTTGCAGTGCTCGGCCTTCTCATTGTGCTGGCTTCTTTTGTCACTGAACACAGGCACTAAGGGCTCCCAGAGTTCAGTAGTTGCAGCCTGCGGGCTCTCGAACACAGGTTCAGTAATTGCGGCACATGGGTTTAGTTGCCTGGTGGCACGTGGAAGCTTTCTAGACCGGGGATCGAACTCACATCCCCTGTGTTGGCAGGTGGACTGTTAACCACTGGGAAGTCGAGATTGTGAAAAATATTTTGAGTGCCAGGGGTGTCAAATCATTAGGGTCCAGGAGTGTGCACCGAGGGAGGTTAGTCTGTCCACCTGCCCACCTGGCTGGTGGGGGCACCCTTGGCTGGGTCTCCCTCCAGACACGGTGCCTTTGGCTGCCTGTCCACAGATTGGGGAGCGGGGCCTCAACCTCTCAGGGGGGCAGAAGCAGAGGATCAGCCTGGCCCGTGCCGTCTACTCTGACCGTGAACTCTACCTGCTGGACGACCCACTCTCGGCCGTGGATGCCCATGTGGGGAAGCATATCTTTGAGGAGTGCTTTAAGAAGGTGCTCAGGAGGAAGACCGTCATCCTGGTGACCCACCAGCTGCAGGTGACCACCCTTCCAGGGCTCTGGCCATGACTGACGGATAATGTAGCTCTTTAAGCCCCTGCCGTCGCAGCATGATCAATAACAGCCTTCCAGCAGATACCCCTTCGTATCTCAGACAGACCCCAAAGTCAGAGAGGACTGCAAAGATCTTGATGTTCTCTGCTTTCCATGTGGAGAAGAGAAGTTGGTAAAAATTGAAACTAAATTTTTTAAGATTGTTTTTTATTGAAGGATAATTGCTTTACAGATTTTTTTTAAACTGTTTTTTTGAAACTAAATTTTAAGGCCTCCTTGATTTTCAAAATTGTGTGGGCGGGCCTCTGCTTTTGAAATTATAAAATACTCCCTCAGAAGAATTGGCCAAATCACATGTTCTTCCCTTAAGTGCACTGGCTGTGGTGGGTGCTGCCTCTCATGGGTCATTTTCCCTAGCTATGGTCCTACCAGACCCTGTTATTATTTATCCTTCTCCTATTTTGGCTTTAGCATTTTTGACATAAAATATGTAAGACATAAAAACGGGTTAGAAAATAACCTAGAGAAAGCCCATGTAACTGCCTCCCAGATCACATCACAGCCCAACGTTGATGGCCCTCAGATCACAGCCCCTTCCCTCCTTCCTGCCCCTCACTCGCTGTTCACTATTCCCATGTGCGTCTTCACACTTTTACAACATACGTATGAACCCAGACAGAGCAAGTGTCTTTTTGAATATTTAAAAACTTATAATCAATATTTTACTTTCTGTGTCCTGAGGTAATTTGCTTTTCTACTCAACATTGTATTTTTAAGATCTTCCGTGTGGGTGCATGGAATTTCATTTCTTTCTTACTAGTACTGTATTACAATATCTGAATATTCCAGAATTTATTTCTCCAGGATGGATATTTAGGTTGTTTCCCATTTTTCACTTTTACAAAAAAATGCTTCAGTATGTTGATACATTCTTATACATGTGTTTCTATGCATGTGTTTGAGAGGGCTTTTTTTAGGGAAGTGTTTTAGGAGTAGAATTATTGGTTCATAATTCTTCAAAAATCTTTAATTTTACTAGAAATTATAAAATTGTTTTTCAAAGTAGCTGTACCAACCTATGCAGGCCTCTCCCCCACCGCCCTCCCCCACCCCGCAGTTTTGTAAGAGTCTCTTTCAGTTCAGTTCAGTCTCTCAGTTGTGTCCGACTCTTTGCGACCCCATGAACCGCAGCACACCAGGCCTCCCTGTCCATCACCAATTCCTGGAGTCCACCCAAACCCATGTCCATTGAGTCGGTGATGCCATCCAACCATCTCATCCTCTGTCGTCCCCTTCTCCTCCTGCCCCCAATCCCTCCTAGCATCAGGGTCTTTTCCAATGAGTCAACTCTTCACATCAGTTGGCCAAAGTATTGGAGTCTCAGCTTCAGCATCAGTCCTTCCAATGAACACCCAGGACTGATCTCCTTTAGGATGGACTGGTTGGATCTCCTTGCAGTCCAAGGGACTCTCAAGAGTCTTCTCCAACACCACAGTTCAAAAGCATCAATTCTTCGGTGCTCAGCTTTCTTTATAGTCCAACTCTCACATCCATACATGACTACTGGAAAAACCATAGCCTTGACTAGACAGACCTTTGTTGGCAAAGTAATGTCTCTGCTTTTTAATATGCAGTCTAGGTTGGTCATAACTTCCCTTCCAAGGAGTAAGCGTCTTTTAATTTCATGGCTGTAATCACCATCCACAGTGATTTTGGAGCCAAGAAAAATAAAGTCAGCCACTGTTTCTACTGTTTCCCCATCTATTTGCCATGAAGTGATGGGACCGGATGCCATGATCTTAGTTTTCTGAATGTTGAGCTTTAAGCCAACTTTTCACTCTCTTCTTTCACTTTCATCAAGAGGCTCTTTAGTTCTTCTTCACTTTCTGCCATAAGGGTATCTTACCCCTAGTCATTATCAATACTTGGGATTGTCCAGTGTTTGAGCTTTTGCCAAATTGGTGATATAAAATATTTTCTCAGGATTTAAATTTTTCCTTTTGAATAATGAAGTTGAGCATCTTTTAGTATGCTTATTGAAGATCTTATTTCTTTTGACTCTTCAGTATTTAGAGTTTTGTGACCAGATCATTTTATTTGAAGATGGAAAAATCTGTGAAAAAGGAATTCACAGGGAGCTCATACAGAAAAGGGGACCATATGCCCAGCTCATCCAGAAGATGCACAGGAAACCCACACAGGTGATTTTCCCCTACCCCATCCTCACTTCTGATCCAACTGGGTGGACCATTCCCTGCATCCATGGCTGTGCTTTCTCCCCAGGTTGTGTCGCAGGGAGTCGCACAGACAGAAGAGGAGCTACAGCTGGAAGGTCCGGCCCAGACCGCTTGCCAGGAAGAGCTTCTCAGTGAAAATGCTGGTAATAGTGCTGAATGGAATAGTGCTTTCACCTGGGAGCAGGGTGAAACCCTCTGCCTGCCTGTCTGCATCCCACAGGCTCTGGCATTTCCTCCTGAATGTGAGACCAGGCCTTGTCACTCACTGAATAGGATGCCAGATATTACTCATATAGGGTACAAATCCAAGTATTGGAGAGCTGTGGGGTAAGGACTGTGCTGGCCAGGAGGCCTAAAGCAACCAGGAAGTGAGTATGGGGGAACAGCTGTGGGTGTGCAGAGGCAGAATGAGGCTTGACTTCAAGTGACTCAAATTTAAACTTTGCAAGATTACTGGGCCGTTAATTCATTATGCATTTTTTTGAGAACAATGCCATTGAAAGTCAGAAATAAATTAGTCCCAGTCCTGGGCATTCAAAAGGTGAAGCTGAACATCTTTTAGTATGCTTATTGAAGATCTTGCTCTTTTCTGAGACAAGGTAGCAGACGGGAAAGACTTTTCATTTTTAAAGTAAGACAGGTCCTGGATTAGAATTCCAGGTCTACTGCTCTCAAAGCTGTGTGACCTTGGCCAACCAAACAGGTTAAACTCTCTGAACCCTCACTGGCAAAAGTGGAGATAATTGTTCTTATATTACAACACCATAGTGGAGATTAGAAGAGGTCCTGAGGGTTAGGACAGTGCCTGGCACATCTTTCACAAATAGAGTCTTCAGCTGCAAAGATCAGAGGCCAAGTTGGGCAGAAAAATAATGCGTTGGCAGATTGAAAAAAAAAGTTGGAGTACCAGACCTCAGTAACTTTGGAGTCTAGAATAGCAGGAACAGGTATAGAATCCTTTTGAAGAAAACCTGCTTCGGATGTTTTCCATCCTGGTCTAATTTCCCTCAAGATTAAAATTCCACAAAGAGGGCTGTCTTCTCCTGGGAAAATTGTGGTGTTGCTGTTAGAAGAAGGGAGAGCGACAGGCAGAAACAATAGGTATCCATCACAGTGCTGTCTCCTGTTAATGTTGTTGTGGTTGTCGTTGACAACATTGACAACATCTACTGTTATTTCCAGGTACTGATCTCTCTGCCCTGCTGTAGGCCAAGTGTGTGCTTGGGCTGGTGTCACACCTGTTTTGAAGAGCTGTTTCAGAAGCATATTGCTACAAAGCATCTTAGTAATTATCTGTAGGCCTGCCAGTTGTCAGATGAGGAAACAGACAGGTTAAGTGATTTGCTTCTTGAAGCTGTACAGTATCATGATGACAGTTCTGGTCCCAGGTCACTGCTTTCTTCCTTCTCTCCCGCTATCTCTCTCAACCCACCCAGCCCTTGGGAACCTCAGGCCCTCCAGGGTCTATTGAATGGCTGGCGATGGACCCCCTTTTCAGAGTCCAGTCAGACCTGCAAACTCTGCTGGTTAGAGTTAGACTTGGGTGGGGTACTGGTGACAGCCTGAACAGAAGGCTTTGCAAGTACTCTTCTTGACCGGGAAGGAGATATAGGCGATGGGAGGCATACTGTTTCCTTTTTCTTTTCCCTGATCCAGGGCTGGAAAATCAGCTCACAGAGAAGGAGAAGATGGAGGAAGGGTCCTTGAAGTGGACAGTCTACCACCACTACATCCAGGCAGGCGGAGGTATGGGCTATTAGCTGCCCCAGGCCAGGCCTATGCAGGAAGTTGGGTCAGACTGGAATATTCAAGGTCATGGGAGGTAGGGGGACACAAAGGGTCATGCCATTCATGAGTTTAACTTGCATAATTCCAGCCATACTTAACTATAATAACTCTGACACTGTATTCAGTGCCAGAAATTATGTTTCCATGTGTATTTGTGTTAATATACCTGACATTTAAAAAATCAAATGTGTCAAGGCATATAGACATGTAAATTATTTTCATGAAGGGAAAAGTTTGTGTTTTTTTTGCCTAGAAATAGGCATGGCATGCCATGAAGGACCACATGGGGAAGCCCCAGGGTTGGTTAGGAGGCTGAGGAGTGGTAAGAGAAGCAGGACCCACAGCCTTTATTAGGGTTTCTGTGGGAAGAAGAGGGTGAGGCAGGGTAGCCATACTGAGTAAGCTTGGGAACAATTCTGGAGGGCTCATTGCTATAGTGGTGGCCCTAGCTGTCTGATATCTGGTCTTAGGGTGATTTAGGGGAGGGCGAATATTGGCTTGGTGGGTGAGAGTTTTGATAAAAGAGGTTATTGGGAGGGTGGGTTGTGGATTGGTTCGTTTGTATATCAAAGATGTGCTTGCAAGGAGTTACTTGCTGTCTCTAGGGATTAGCTAGCCTTGGGACGAGCAGTCTGACAGGATTAAGGCCCCAAATAAGTATTAGGAATATAGAAAATAAGAAATATAAGCAAATATCATTAATATTTTTACTGAAATAAAGAGTGCCACCGTACTCTTTATCTCAGTGTTTTTCATCCTGCAGGTCCTAGCCCGCTAGTGGGTTGTGAAATCAACTGAGTGGGTCGTAGGTAGCAATGAGAGTAGAAATGTGACTAGAGTAGAAAATATCTGCAGAAGTGATATTGGTGAAGCCTTCATTTTATTATGTATTAGACTGTATATCTGAAGGTGGATGGCAATAAAAAGTTTCAAAGCTTCTGCTTTATTTAATGGTGTATGTTACCAAATTCACACATATATAACTGTACAATGTTGTAAACGTGAACCAAGTATACGCTACTGTGGTTTTGAGTAACTTAATTTTTGAGAGTAATTTTGACTCCATGCCAACTTTTTATTCTTCATTGATTTTGGAACCTAACCCTGCACAAGGTGTGTCTTCTCTCTACCTGTCTAGGGAGGAAGAGGAGGGCTGTGCGTAGATTACCATCCTCACCCCTTCCACTGTGAGCATCCTTACAGGATGTAACACAGGGCCTGACCAGAGCAGGGAAGTAGCAAATACCTGTGAAACGCAATGAATGAACCAAAAAACCAATTGATCTGTATTTAGGAAGTGCCTATGATGAACCAGGCTCTTGCCGAGTTCTGGAGGGGAGGGTGTATAAAGCTGCCTGAGAACCTACCCTGTAATCTAACTGGAGAATTAAGACATTCATCCACCAGTAGCAAGAGAGCGAGATCTCTGGGACCAAGCATGGTCTCAGATGTCATCAAAGAGAGTTGGCCCTTGGGTGGAGCTTAAGGAAGAATTCAAGAAAAAGAATATGGGCACGGGGCACAGACTGGATAGGTGGGGAGAGTGCCAGGGCAAGAGGCAGATGGGAAAGGAAGGTGTGTACCCTAGGTTTTCCCATCCTTGGCTTCACCACTCACCAGCTCTATGGCTTTGGGCAAGTTACTTCCTCTCTTGGAGACTTGGCGATAGGCATTCTGAATTCAAAAATAATTCATATATTTAGTATTCTACCTGGCACTTGGTACATAATAGTGAAAGGTAGCTGTCGTTACTTTGAATGTTGAACCCTCAGGACTTGCATAAGGGGAATCAGCTTCTCTAGAACACTGCTCACATAACCAGGCACTGGGCTGGGTACTTGACACACGTTACCTCATAGCATCTTTAGAGCAGCCCCTTGAGGCTGGCAGGACTACCGTCACCATCTCGTATGTAAGGAAGTGGAATGTCATTGACATTAGGTCCCTCGCCCAGGCTCATATAGCTTTTAAGTAGTTTGAGCCAGGATTTGAACCCAGGGCTTTCTAATCTTGGAACCCAGCTCTTTTTAGTCTTCTAGGGTGTCTGAGGAAGATCCAAGGACCTGGTGTGGCCATGTACCTCCTTTTGGCACCTCTCTCCCCCCAGGTTACGTGGTCTGTGGTGTGGTTTTCCTTCTCATGGTGATAACGGTCTTCTGCACGTTGTTCAACTTCTGGTGGCTGAGCTACTGGCTGGGGCAGGGCTCAGGGGTGAGTGCCATGTGGGGGTGGGGTGCATTTCTGTGAACCTGGGTGGAATGGGGGACCTTCTTATTCCTTGGGGCCCCATGGGTATGGATTAGAGAAGCCCACGGCAAGCCCAGTACCTGCCCTTGCCACACTGATGAAAGGGGCCCTAGAGGGAACCCTTGGGACCCGAAACTCTGGGGCTCCCTCCCAGCTGGGCATCCTGTGTTCACAGAGCAAGAGGTCACCTGTACAGTCTTCTAGGAATAAAACCAAGAGGTTTCTGTCCCCAAACAGCTCTTTACACCAAGAATGCTTTACAGTCTGCTCTAATATGAGTTAGAGAAGGGAAAAGTTTTATCCATCACTCCTGACAGCAGGGAAAAAGCTGAGCTCCATTATGACTTGCACAGAAGTGATTTGGGCTTTTGAAAGGCAGAATGAGACAGGAGGGAAAGCAGGGGCTCTGCTGGGTCAGAGAACGAAAAAATACAAAAGGCTGGTGAGTGTCAGTACAATTAAGCCATCAGTGTCTGCAGCCAGCTGATGTGGGCTGAGAGTGGGCTACAGAGGCTCTGTCCTTTCTGAGGATTACATTTTAAAGGAATCATTCTCAGATCTTTAAGAAAGATGCTTCTGAGTTGCAAGAGATACACAGTCACAGCTGTGAGTGCTTCTTAGTAAGGGCTCTGAGGAAGAGAGATCAGGGGCCTGTCCTCAGCTGCAGGCTGGAACAAACAGTAGATTTTCCTGGCAGAGGCACTTTAATGAAGGTGGGGAGAGCTGGGGTCCTCCAAGGGACATGCCTTAGCCTCTAGGAGCCACGCTAGAGTTCGGTCAAGTCTTTTAGTGCAGGAGTTTGGACAGGGTTGTTCGTGTTGAGGGTTCTGGAGCTCTCAGCCGTTATGTGCCAGGTTAAGTCATTAATCTTCCCAACCCCATTCTGAGATAGGTATCATTGTCCCCATTTTGTATTTGCAGAAATTATTCTTAGAGAGGAGAAGGAGCCTTCCCTGAGACATCAATGTGCCTTGAACTCTGTGCTCTGAATCCAGGCCACGTTTTTCAAACACTCTATTTGGTTAACTTTTGAGTCATGTTTCAGAAGGAGTTTGGTCAGGAAAGCAGGAGCCACTTGAAATATTTAGAGCTTCAAAGAGTTAATCCACAAGTTAGAGGCTACACAGCCATTGGAAGGGCTGGAGGAGAGAGGGAAAGCAGACTCCAGGAATTTTAGCAGCAGGCGGCACTAAATGGGCTGATCCTTGGAAGGATGCCTACTAACCACTGGCCGAACTCCCCGCTCCATAGACCTGTCCACAATTGCCACCAGAGTATAATGGCCTCTCTTTCAACCTTTAGATTTCCTGTGAGTGCCTCTCTTTCATAGAGTCTAACCTAAGACCATGCTGGCAAGGAGTCTGAGAAACAGTTCTCAAGGTCTTCCCTGAATCACAGTGGAGAGTGTGGAAGGAGGCAGAGGTGATGTTAGATGAACATCTAGTGCAGATTTCTAACAGCATAGCGTGAAGTAATTTATCCAGCCATTTCCTACCATGCCAGAAGAGAAGAGGCTCATATCAACAGCAGGCTGCCTTAGGACAGAGATGCATTGAGGAGGGATGCATAGAAGTCCTAGTGGTAGTGGATTTGAGTTTGGAACAAGCAAGGTAGAGCTGGCAATGGAGTGGAGGCAAGAGCTGGGTCAAGGAGACAGGCCACTGAGACTGATGCTGTAGTGGTCCAGGCGATCAGCACAGAGAAGTGGGGAGGGAGCAGGGAGGTTTGAATGTATAGTTTCACCTTCTACTGGCTGCTGAGTCTTCTGTAGCCCCAGGAAGACAGATTTTTCTCCCTGCTGAATTTCACCCTGAACTCAAATGATCTGAACCTCTAAAAAAGAAAACTCACAGTTTTCCTCTCTCCACACATAATGTCTCTAATACCCAAAGTGCAGGTTTTTTTTTTTTTTTTTTTTTTTTTCCCCTCTGTATCAACCAGTTCTCCAACTCCCTGGACACTCCCTGGGTATACTACAATTCAACTCCATTCTGTTACTACCTATCCAGTGTTAGCAACACCTCACAGGTTAAGGGTTCAGTCCCATAAGACTGCTCATGCGCCAATCACAAGTCTAGATGTTTTGTTTAGTTCAGTCACTCAGTCATGTCTGACTGCAACCTCATGAATTGCAGCACACCAGGCTTCCTTGTCCTTCACCAGCTCCCGGAGTTTGCTCAAACTCATGTCCACTGAGTCAGTGATGCCATCCAATCATCTCATCCTCTGTCATCCCCTTCTCCTCCCGCCTTCAATCTCCCCCAACATCAGGATCTTTTCCAAAGTATTGGAGTTTCAGCTTCAGCATCAGTCCTTCCAATGGATATTCAGGACTGATTTCCTTTATGATGGACTGGTTTGATCTCCCTGCTGACCAAGGGACTCTCAAGAGTCTTCTCCAACACCGCAGTTCAAAAGCATCAATTCTTCAGCACTCAGCTTTCTTTATTGTCCCACTCTCACATCCATACATGACAACTGGAAAAACCATAGCTTTGACTAGATGGACCTTTGTTGGCGAAGTAATGTCTCTGGTTTTTAACATGCTGTCTAGGTTGGTCATAGCTTTTCCTCCAAGAAGCAAGCGTCTTAATTTCATGGCTGCAGTCACCATCTGCAGTGATTTTGCAGCCCAAGAAAATAACTGTTTCCATTGTTTCCCCATCTATTTGCCATGAAGTGATGGGACTGGATGCCATGATCTTTGTTTTTTGAATGTTGAGTTTCAACCCAGCTTTTTCATTCTCTTCTTTCACTTTCATCAAGAGGTTCTTTAGTTCTTCTTCTCTTTCTGCCATAAAGGTGGTGTCATCTGTGTATCTGAGGTTATTGATGTATCTCCCGGAAATCTTGATTCCAGATTGTACTTCATCTAGCCCGGCATTTTGCATGATGTACTCTGCATATAAGTTAAATAAGCAGGGTGACAATATACAGCCTTGATGTATTCCTTTCCCTATTTGGAACCAGNTTCATGATCTGAGCCACACTCAGCTCCCAGTCTTGTTTTGGCTGACTGTATAAAGTTTCTGCATCTTTGGCTGCAAAGAATATAATCAATCTGATTTTGGTATTGACCATTTGGTGATGTCCATGTGTAGAGTCTTCTCTTGTGTTGTTGGAAGAGGATGTTTGCTATGATGAGTGTGTTCTCTTGGCAAAACTCTGTTAGCCTTTGACCTGCTTCATTTTGTACTCCAAGGCCAAATTTGCCTGTTACTCCAGGTATCTCTTGACTTCGTACTTTTGCATTCCAGTCCCCAGTGATGACAAGGACATCTTTTTTGGGTGTTAGTTCTAGAAGGTCTTGTAGGTCTTCATAGAACCATTCAACTTCAGCTTCTTCTGCATTAGTGGTTGGGGCATAGACTTGGATTACTGTGCTATTGAATGGTTTGCCTTGGAAATAAAGAGATCATTCTGTTGTTTTTGTAGTTCTGATGAATCAGCTATAAATTGGGGATTCCCATGACTCCCTCTTTGGGTTTGATAATTTTCTATAATGGCTCACAGAACTTAGGGAAATACTTTTATCAGTTTTTAAATAAGGGATATAGTAAATGATGCAGATGCAGAGCCAGATGAAAACATAGTTAGGGTGAGGTACAGAAGAGTCCAAAGTGCAGGAGCTTCTGTTTCCATAGAGTTGGGGTACACCACCCTTCTAGCACATGGATGTGTTCACCAACCTGGAAGCTCTCTGAACGCCATGCTTTCAGATTTTTTTTTATCGTGGCTTCAACTTGTGGCTCAGTTTTAAAGAATCCTCCTGCAAAGTAGGAGATCCCGAGTTCAATTCCTGGTTTGGGAAGATCCACTGGAGAAGGGATAGTCTACCCACTCCAGTATTCTTGGGCTTCTCTTGTGGCTCAGCTGGTGAAGAATCTGCTTGCAATGTGGGAGACCCCAGTTTGACCCCTGGGTTGGGAAGATCCCTTGGAGAAGGGAAAGGCTACACATTCCACTATTCTGGCCTGGAGAATTCCATGGGTTGTATTGTCCATGGGGTTGCAAAGAGTCAGACATGACCAAGCGACTTTCACTTTAACATATAGACATGATGAATCATAAACTAAAATTCCAGCTTCTTCCCATTTCCAGAAGATGGGAGTAGGGCTGAACGTTCCAAGCTTGGACTCATGACTTGGTCTTTCTGGTGACCAGCCCCAATCCTGAAGCTATTTAGGAGCCCCCAGCCCCTAGTCATCTCATTAGCTACAAAAGACTCTTCATTGCTCCAGAGGCCTCAAAGGTCTTAGAAGCACCTGTGTCAGAAACCAGAGTCCAAGGTCAAATATTACCACAAATGAAGCCCCAAGCACCCCCATCACCTCGGAAACTGCAAAAGTTTTGGGACCTGTGTGTCAGGAATGGGGGACAAAGATGAAGCATATTTCTTCTCACACCATACTCCCTGCCCTTTCTTGAAGAATAATAGCAGTCAAGAGAGCAACTGGACTGCTGCAGACCCAGGTGACATACTGGACAATCCTCAGCTGCCCTTTTACCAACTGGTGTTTGGCCTCAGCATCCTGTTCACAATCTTCTTCAGCATTTGCCTCACAGTGGTTTTCACCAAGGTGATGGGGAAGGCACCCACAACACTGCACAACAAGCTCTTCAACAAGGTATGGGCCTGGGCACTGGGGATGGCCACAGGGTGAGCCTTGACCTTGCTCAACCCTTTTCTCTAATTATTAGACTCTATTTTTTGAGCAGTTTTTGGTTTAGAGAAAAATTGAGCAGAAAATATAGGGTTCACTTTTACCCTTCACCACATCCTCAGTTTCTCCTATTATTAATAGCTTGCACTAGTGGGGGACATCTGTTACAGTTGATGAATCAACATTGATATATTATTATTATCTATCAAAGTCCATAGTTTACATTAAGGTTCACTCCTTCTGTTGTACCTTCTATGGGTTTTGACAAACGTGTACTAGCATGCGTCTACCATCAAGTCTCATACTGAATAGTCAAACTGCCCTAAAAATCCCCTTTGCTCAGCCTATATATACCCCTCCCCTAGACCTCTGAAAACTGCTGATCTTTTTTGCTATCTCCATGGTTTGGAGAATATAATGTCATATAGTTGTAAGTTTACACGGGATCACTAACTGGGTGGGAGCAGGCCAGAGAATGAGGTAGGTTCACTGAAACTCCCACGACTAGAAGCATGATATTAAAAGTTTAATGCCCCTTCCTAGAGGGTCAGCCCTCAGCTATCAATGCTGGCCTCTGTTGGCTGAGCACAGTCACATAAAGAGTTGCTTCTAATTTCCTTAAGTTCCTTTGGAAGTAGGTATTTTACCCTTATCTTACATATGAGAAAATTGAAACCTCATATGTGTTATGGTTAGAATGTATGTTATGGCTAGAATACCAAGTTATCTATAGTATCACATTACCTCTTGGAAATGTCCTTTCTGTCTTTCACTTATCGAATATTACTGGGTGCCAGGCTCTGGGGTAGGCACTGGGTTCACAGTGGTAAGTGAACAATGCAGATGGGGTTTGGGTCATCTTAGAGTATAGCCTAAGGAGGGAGATAGAGAGGAAGATATTCTGTTGTAATATGATGTGCAGAGTTAACCATGGGGTGGGGGCACACAGGACCATAAGAACATGACACACCCAACCCAAGCATGGGAAAGGTGGAAGGAAGGTGGGAGTCCAAGAAGGCTTCCTGGAGGAAGTGACCTCTATGCTAAGATGTGAGGATGAATGAGATCTCGCCAGTTCAAGATGAAGAGGTGAGAAGAAGCAGAACATTTCCGGGGAGCTGCATGGAGCTCAGGAAGGCTGGAACTGAGAACTGTAGAGAGGGGCTTCTCAGAGGGATTCTCGGGAGGCAATGAGGGCACCCATCATTGGGTGAAAATTAAAAAAAAATTTTTTTTTGATGTGGGCCATCATTTTAAATATCTTTATTGAATTTGTTACAATGTGTTTTGGCTTTTTGGCCGTGAGGCAAATGGGATCTTAGTTCCCTGACCAGGGATCAAACAAGCACCCCCTGCAATGAAAGGCAAAATCTTAATTAACCACTGGATCATCAGGGAAGTCCCACAAACTGTGTTTTAGTTTAGGAGGGTAAGGCCAAGACATTTCCCCACATCTCAGATATAGCAACTGGCTTGATGAGCCAGAAGGCAGGAGAGGGAAATGTTACCCCAAGGCCTGGCAGTCCTTACCACCTAATCTGTGGTGGTGGCACTAGCTAGCTGGTCTCTAAGTTTCTGACTCCACATTCCCAGATTCTAGAAATACCTAGTGCCCAGGCCTTCTCAAAGTTATATTCTATATTTTAATTTTGAGAAGTGTTTGAATTTTTTTCACTAGAAAATACATTTCGTATTTGAAACATTTTCCCTTTGCTCACCCTTTTATGGCTTTATTGATCTTAAATTTCCCCTTTAGTTTTAAATAATCACAAGTAAAGGAAAAATCTCTGAAAAAATTGGCTCAACTATAGAATCAACAAATATAGAAACAAAACTAGAACCAGGTGATTTTGCTACTTAAGGAGGCAACCAGAGATCCTGACCCTGTGTCCCCACCATATACTTCTAATCCCTAGTGAGCAAGGGCTCTCGGAAAGACCCCTTTCATGCCACAGCTGAGCTGAGTCCTGCCCTCCTAGCCCCTCACCCCCCAAAAGTGCTCAGTGTCTAAGGGAGTGATTGCTTTAGTCTTTTATTTGTCAGTGATTATGACTATTCTTTTTGCTTTAGCTCATGTATTTAACAAAAGATTCTGGAGGTAGAATTAAAGACAATTTAGAAGCAGAAGAAGAAAGCAAGGATCTCACAGTCTGCCCCTCTGATGTTTCTGCTCCCCACTTCCTACCTTGGGCTCCCCTGGTGGCTCAGATGATAAAGAATCTGCCTGCAATGAGAGAGACCTGGGTTCAGTCCCTGGGCCGAGAAGATCCCCTGGAGAAGGAACTGGCAAACCACTCCAGTATTCTTGCCTGGAGAAGTCCCTGGACAGAGGAGCCTGACAGACCATGGGTTTGCAAAGAGTCAGACACAACCGAGCGACTACTTGATGACGACCTCCTACCTTAGACAGCAAGCAAGCTGTACTTACCAGCAGGATCCAGACATTTGCCATGAGGGCTGCTGCAGAGCCACTTCATGACTCAAATAATTATATTAATGTGTTGGTTGCTCAGTTGTGTCCGACTCTTTGCGGCTGCATGGACTCTAGCCTACCAGGCTTTTCTATTCATGGGATTTTCCAGGCAAAAATACTGGAGTGGGTTGCCATTCCCTTCTCCAGGGGATCTTCCTGACCCAGGGATCAAACCCGCATATACCCTTTACAATTTTATTTATTTACTTATTTCTGTGCAGGTTTTCTTCATCTGCAGTGACTGGGGGCTACTCTTCATTGCAGCGTACAAGCTTCTCATTGTGGTGGATTTGCTTGTTGCAGAGCACTGGCTTTAGAGCGTGGGCTTAGTACTAGTGGTATATGGGCTTAGTTGCTCTGAGGCGTGTGGCATCTTTCCAGACCCAGTATTGAACCCATGTCCCCTACACTGACAGGCAGATTCTTAACCACTGGACCACCAGGGAGGCCCCAACATACCCTTATAAATTGTATATTTTAGTACATTTTCAGAGTTGTACAATCCTCATCACAACTCTGAAGCATCATTATCATCCCCATTTTATAAAGGGGGACCCTGAGACTCAGAGAGCTTATACGTAACTTGCCTACAGTCCCAGAGCAGTAGATGGAAGACTGGGGCAGCCCTGGAGTCCAGGCAAATTGACTCTGAAGCCTCTGCCTTTAAGCGTTGCTCTACGTTGCCTTCCCTGGATATCCTTTAGTCTGCATTCTGTACATCTTTCAGAGCTTGCGGATACCTGGTGTCATCATCAGGCCCCCACCAAGGCGTGCAGCCAGCCTTGTGATCTGGGTTGCTTTTGTCCTCACAGGTGTCTCTCTGCCCCATGCACTTCTTTGACACGACCCCAACTGGCCGGCTCCTCAACTGCTTTGCAGGGGACATGGATGAACTGGATCAGTTCTTGCCCATCGTGGTTGAACAGTCTCTGCTCCTGTTTTTGGTGGTGATCATGATCCTCTTGATAATCAGTTTCCTATCCCCCTATATCCTGCTGATGGGAGTTATCATCCTCTCTGTTTGCCTGGTTTATTTTAGGTGAGTGGGTTCTTTTTGCTTGTGAATGAGGTTTGTGACTAGGGGTATGAGTCTAGGACCAACCTAGAACTGGAGGGTGTCAGAGGTGGATGGCTCAGGTCACTCACTCCCGTTCTCAATGCAGGATGTTCAAGAGGGCCATCAGTGTGTTCAAGAGACTGAAGAACTACAGCTGCTCCCCTTTGTTTTCCCACATCCTCACCACGCTGCAGGGCCTGAGCTCCATCCATGTCTATGGAAAAACTGAAGACTTCATCAATGAGTGAGTCCTTCTGCTCTCTGAGAGTGACGGGGAGTGTGGCGATGGTGGGTGACAGGAAGGGTAGGAAACAGCACCCGGAAATAGCACCATCCTCAGAAGAATAGAGAGATCTTTGTTTTATTCCATTTATTTCACTGCACCTCCAGAACCCCATCCGGAAGATGGTACTTATAAGAATAAAAAATGCAAGTGATATGAAAAATGTCTGTCAGTCTTAAAGACCTGTGCTGTTATATACATATATTAATACAATGAAGGATACAATGTATTACCATATTATTACTTATTGCATTTTTTTGCTCTCAATTGCAAACAGATATCTAAATATAATAGAATAATAAAGAACGATAGCTTTCTAAATAAAAGAATTTTCTTCACTATTGACACCCATAGATTTGCCTTCTAAATGTTTGTTGAAACAAATAATCAAACCCCATGATTGTTGCTGAGGTTTAATCGTGTAACATAAACTTTTCTACTTGTAAGCATCAGTCAAACATGGTCTGCACTGAACTACAAGAAGTTTGCAGTCTAATGGAAGACAGGGGACACAGATGTATATTTTTGGAATAAGACAAGTGTTGAATATGATGCAATAGGAGAAACGCAGGTAGAATGACTTGGGGTTTCAGAGGAGAAAGTGATAACCCGCAGCTTGGGGTCAGGGAAGGCTTTGGGGAGGAGGCAGCATCTGAGGTGCTTGAAGTCAGGAGAGATTTGGGCATGGGAGATGGTGTGTGCTCTGTTAACTGGAATATTGGATGGGCCATGGTGCCAGCTCCCCCAGTGGCGCTAGAGAGACCCAAGGGCTGTGCAGAGACTAGGACTAAGGAATCATTCAGCCAGCACTGAGAACTCCCAGGTGCTCAGCACCCAGTGGGGATACAGCCATGAACAAGGTGGACAGATACTAAGAAGGGATTGCTTTCCTTCACTCACTCACAAATCTGGGCCTTTTTTCAATCTTGTTGGCCCAATAGAGTAACTTACCCGTCCTAAATCAATCATCAAGGCCAGGGGAAGAAAACTGCTAATAGGCCTAAATCGGTTCGAGCTCACTCCTAGATCTGAGGTCAGGTGAACTCCATGACTGAGGAAGGAGTAGGAAGGAATCCTCTCCAGTTTTCTTCGTTGGATCTTTGGTGAGACTGGGGATCTGGAAGCTGGAGAAAGCAACCAGTGTTAGGAAACCCTGGGTTAGACAAACACATGTGACTTTCATGTTGTCCTTTCTTTGTCAGGTTTAAAAAGCTGACAGATGTACAGAATAACTACCTGCTGTTGTTTCTGTCTTCCACGCGATGGGTGGCCTTGAGGCTGGAGCTCATGAGCAACCTGGTGACCTTGGCTGTGGCCCTGTTTTTGGTTTTCGGCCTTTCCTCTGCCTCTTATTCCTATACAGCCATGGCTATCAGCCTCGTCCTACAGGTGAGGGGTGGGCTCTAAGACAGCGGGGCGGGGGGCAGGGAGGAAGCTGGTATTGGGCTGTGGCCTATGGGCAGACTCAGGGGTCTGTGGGGCTTTGATTACACCATGGCTTTTGGCCACTTGTGACCTTATGAACTGGATGCTTGGCTTTCTGAATCTGCAGCTTTGCTCTGTTTCCTTGTCACTTCCAAACTGGGAAGCCTATATTGAAAGGTATTTAACAGAATTATAGAATATTGGGCTTCTATCTGAATATAGAAGAGGAGCCCAGAGACAGCAGAGTCCAACCTTCCTATTGTGTAAATGGTGAAACTGAGGCCCAGAGAGGGGAAGGAACTGTCTGAATGCACAGAGCTTTAGAAACAGAGCCAGGGCAAGGCCATTGACCTCTTGGTTTCCTGTGGTGTCTTTTTTTACTTTACTATACATACCCTGAGTCAGTTGTCACTTTTCTGAAATATCTGGGGAGGCTATTTAAAATGTAAGCTTCCCAGTTCTCCTCTGGGGCAGGCCTGTCAGGCTTCAAAGTGCATAGACTTGAACCCGAGTGCTTGGCCCAGCCTGGTGGGCTGATTCAGCTGGGCTCATGGAGCTGACAGGAAGGCCATGCTCCAGAGCACAGGGGAGCGATTCAGAGTCAGGTCCTGGTTGGGCGAGGTCTTGGAATCTAACTTTTAAAATGGGTTCTTGAGGGGACCCTGGTGTAGAAGCTTTGCATGTTTCATGGCCTGAATTCTTGCATGCCCAGAATCAGGACCAAGGCTTATGTCCACAAAGTCCTGGGGAACGGCTCTCCACGGAGGGCTGGGAGGCTAGTTAGGAAACTCAGGAAACCATGCGTACACAGTTCCATTGGCACTCTCTCCCACAGGGGTAGTCGTTAACCATCCACTCTCATTCTTTCTCTCTAGCTGGACTTGGGTCTTGTGTGCCCCATGCTGAGGCATCCTTTTGGGTGCAGAGGGGCTCCTTCCTGCTCCTTGTTGAAGCCTGTGGCAGACACACATGTGTGCTGTGCCCACATGGCCATGCCTGTGTGCAGACTCTTCCGAGGGTGCACAGGCCATGCAGGTGGCTGTGTGGTGCTCATGCCCACAGACAGCGGCCCCAGGCCATAAGTGGGCAGTTGGGGAGCTTGTATTGAGCCCATGCCCTGCTGGACACTTGCTGTGCTTCTTCCATTGAACTGTCACCACATTCCATGAGATGCGGCCAAGTGGTTAAGAACATATGGTGTGGAAGGTGTGGGTTCTCAACAGGCTCTGTCCATTATCACCTATGTGACTTTGGGGAAATCTGTTATCCTCCTTACTCCTTTTATGAAAGGGAGATCATAAAAGTTCTGGAATCATAGACTTGTGAGTAATATATGTAAACTCAAGGGTTCATACATGTTAAAAACCTTGGCCCAGAATAAATGCTGGATAAACGTTCCCTATTATGGTTCCCAGCTTATAGATAGGAAGCTAGAGTCTCCAGAGTTACTTTGCCTGTGCTCCCACAGCTGCTGCGAGACAGGTTTGGCCATGGTGGGACACACTCTTCTCTCTCTTTCTTACTTTCTCTGACACACAAATACATAAACACACACCTGTATACACACGAACACATGCGCATGTAGCCCATTGCAGAATTACCCCGAGCCTTCCAGAACTCTGGGGAGAGGCCCCACGCTGGAGTCCTGGGGGACACGAGTCACTAAGGACAGAGATGCCCCCTGCCTGCCGAACCCTATGCCTTGGTTATCTGGTGCTGGAGCAAAAAGTGGGTGGAGGCTTAGCTCTCCCAGGTGCATCATGTATACAGGTGTTTGCTCAAGGTTGACCAGTTGTCCCACCACAGGACACCAAGGAAGAGCTCTGCCAGGGGACCTGAGGACTTAAGAATTGCCCCAAGTTTATCCTTTCTTCTCAATGTCTGATGTTCTGTTTGAGTGTCTAATTTCTATGCTGGGTAACAACTTCTCAGCCCCCTTGCCTTCCCCATCCACTCTCTTCAGTTTAGCGGCTCAGTCATGTCCGACTCTCTGTGACCCCATGGACTGTAGGCTGCCAGGCTCCTCTATCCATGGAGATTCTCCAGGCAAGAATACTGGAGTGGCTTGCCATGCCCTCCTGCAGGGGATCTTCCCAGCCCAGGGATCAAACCCAGGTCTCCAGCATTGCAGGAGGATTCTTCACCATCTGAGCCACAAGGGAAGTCCAAGAATACTGGAGTGGGTAGCCTCTCCCTTCTCCAGGGGATCTTCCTGACCCAGGAATTGAATTGGGGTCTCCTGCATTGCAGGTGGATTCTTTACCAGCTGAGCTACCAGGGAAGCCCCCACTCCAGAGTGATCTTTAATTTTGGTTTTCCTCATGTCATCACCTTGGTTAGACCCTCTAGAGACTCCCTGTCTCTTTATGCACTAGACCTAAGCCATCGACCTACATTCCAGGCCCTTAAATCTAGCCCTAGACCCCACATACACTCTTTTTGCTGATCAGACTTTGACTCCTGCATGTACTCTGGAGGAAATTCGGGCTTTGGGAGGCAGGTATCATACACAATGTTGCTTTGTAGCCCTGAGAGATTTCTTAGTAAATATTAGAGATACTTTTGGTTATAAGCCAAAACAAGTCATATAACCAGTTCAAAATGGCCTTAGCAATCTGGGAACTTATTATCTGATATGACCAGAAGGCTGAGGTAGGACTGTCCTCTGTTGGCTAATTTACTGGCTTATCATGACACCATGATCTTTGATTTTTCTGTTCTGGCATCCGCAGTCTGACTTTATCCTCAGGATTGTCTATTTGAGTTCACAGAATGGCTGCTCAGCCCCAAACAACTCATCCTCATTCAGAAACTGCTTAACGCTGGAGAGGAGAGAATTTTTCCATGTGCCCCCGTGTAAGAACAAGGAGTCATTTCTGAGAATACTCACATCTGAGTTTTCCTTGTGCTTCACTGGCCAGAATTGTGTCGTGGCTCACTGCCAAACCAGTCATTGGTAAGAGGATAGGGGTTAATAGGATCGGTTTGAAGTAACCAAGCCTCCCTGGAATTCCAGGCTGCCAGACACCTGAACATAACAGAAGGTGTGTCCGCAAGGAAGGAAGATGGGACCTGCTGTTGATAGGCAGTCAGCTGTGTCTGGTATCCTTTCCCAGCTCAGCGTCATTTCTTGACGGTGGCCTCTTCTCTGACTTATGCAGGTTTTCCCTCCCTAGCCTCCCTAGCCCATACATACCCTTTGCTTTATCCACAGTCACATGGCCTGAGGAGCCCTGAATGGATGATGCCATTTTACTACCGTCAAGACTGTCCTTCTACTAGAACACTTGTCTCCACCCATGTTTAGCTGGCTAAATCCCACCTCTCCTTAAAAACGTACCTCCAGTGCCACCCTCTCCAGCAAGCCTACCCAGTGGCCCTCGTCTGGTGACCGTCCTGTGGCCGTGACGGAGCTGTGTGCTGACTCTATCACGCTTCTCTACTGACCTGTCTTTCTCCCCATTCTCCTGGGTGCTCCTTGAGGGCAGGGCCTGGGTCTGCTGCACTTTAAGCATGGAGCCTGGCCCAGCACCTCCATCAGAGTTTGTTGACTGGCTGTGTAAGGGAGTTGTTGCCTGGCACCCTCTGCATGGCCTGAGGGGTGCGGAGCATCAAAACTGGGGCCCCCATCCCAGCTCTGCCTCTGGTTCCTGGGTGATTCTGTGTGTATCACTTCCTCTCTCTGGGCCTCTGTTTCCTCATCTGTGGTGCCTCCGATTCCTAAGAATTCCTGAGAGTCCTCTTAGTCTGGGTTTCCCTGAAGGCAGAGCCCGAGACAAGGACTCGGATGCAGATTATTTGTGAGATGCACCCTAGAAAGGACCGAGGAGCAGGAGCATGTGACAGGGAAGGAGGAATCGCATTGCAGGAGTGTGTCATTGAGAGTCACTGCTCCATGACCAACTAACAGGGTTGCTCGGCTAACAGGATGGTCCCTGAAGGCCAAGAGAGAGGAGACTTTATCCAGTGGCTCTTTTCCCCACTAGGAGAGGGTTGCTCCCAAGGGCTGTAATTCCCATGTTTCTGGGCTGCACCTGGGCTGAGTGGGCTCCTGTGGTATGGACAAAGGTTTCGAACAGAAAACCGAGGGTGCCTGAGGTGAAACAGGCTTGGTGGGATTCTCTCCTGCAGCTCCCCACCACAGCTGCAGCCACACCCAGAAGTAGCTCAGCGGGGCACCAGAGGTACCTGCTCCTTCCCTGTAAGGGAAGCTGTCTTGGTCTGAGGAGCTACTCAGGAGGAATGGCCATTTCCCACCTTTGGAAGCGGTGAGAACCTGCGCTCACCCCGCAGCCTGCTAGTCAGATGCTTCTCCTTTGTTCCAGGTGGCGTCCAACTTCCAGGCCTGTGTCCGGATTTGTTCAGAGACAGAGGCGTACTTGACAGCTGCAGAGAGGATACTACAATACATGAAGGTGGGACACAGGTCTGGGCTTTGTGCAGGGAGATGTGGAAGCCTCACATCCAGCCTCTGCAAGCCCCAGCACCTCAGGGGCCCTGAGATTTTCCCAGGAGGCAACTGGCTTCTGGTCCTTCCCCCTCAACTCCCCCAGCATGGTATACATCATCTCTCAGAAGCTCTTCCACACCCATCGGCTCATTTTGACTACATCCCTCACGGCACTCTTAGATGTAGATGGAATGATCTGCTCTTTTTAGAAGAGAGAGGTTTGCTCGAATATAATAATGATGATAACAATAATAGTTGTTATTAATATTGCTTCCATTTATGTCATAGTACTTAAGAATCCAGATTGTGTAAACAGATAACCTGGGTTCAGGTCTAAGCTTTGCTCCTTGAGTCAGGTGTGCAATCTTGTGACTCATTCAGCCTCTCGGCTCCCCACCGATGAAATGAGACAGATCGCAGTATCTGTGTCATTGGGTTATTACAAAGATTAGATCACATCCTATGTAAATCACTTAACGCAGTGCCTGGCCCATAGTAAAGGCTCAGTATAATGATATCTAGATTATTTCATGGAATCACAAAACAACTTAATATTGTTAGCTGAATTATTATCCCAATATCCAGAGGTGGAATCTACCCCCCCAGTCCAGCCACCTTGCTCAATGCAGAGTTGTGGGCTTAGTGTCAGGCAGCCCTGGGTTTGAGTCCCTGGTCATCCACCCATCAGCTGTGTGATCTTAACATGTCATCTGACCTGTGTGAGCCTCTATTTCCTTGCCTGTGAAATCATTTAAAATTGCCTACCTCTATGTATAGGAATAGAGAGAAATTGTCTGCCCAAGGGCTCTGAGCTCTAAAACACGACCCACAGGAGTGAGCTAACCCTGCTGTCCTGGTTATCATTATTCTGGATTCTGTGTCTGTAGAGTCTCACATGGTAAATTAGAGTTTTCTATGTTAATAACATAGGAACTTACCAATATGGTTTCTCACTCTTTGGGGATAAAATCATGTGCATTTCAGGTGATTGGGGGTGGAATGCTCCTCTGATTACATGGCGGTGACTTAAGCCTGGTTCAAGGGCAGGCTGGGGTGGTTCACACACCCAATAGCTAGAGGCCAGTGAGTCAGCAGGGGATGGGCAGAAATGGATAATCATTGATTTCTTTTTCTCTCTTTGAAAACGAGATGTGTGTCTCTGAGGCTCCTTTACGCATAGAAGGCGTGAACTGTCCTCATGGGTGGCCACAGCATGGGGAAATCACATTCCAGGATTACCAGATGAAATACAGAGACAACACGCCTGTTGTTCTCCATGGCATCAACCTGACGATTCACGGCCAGGAAGTGGTGGGCATCGTGGGAAGGACAGGCTCTGGTGAGCTCAGCATCCAGGACATGCCCTGTCTTCAGTGTTGGATTTGGGTGTCAGACTTGTCTTCAGACATGTGTTGACTCAGTGACCCTACAAATAGTTACTGGGGCCTCATTTTGTGCTAGAAGAACAAAACCCATAGTCACTGCTGTCGTGGGACTCCAGTGGAGAGGACAGATGTTGACAGGTCATCGAATAAGGAATGGGGAAGATCGCCTTGGTGGTGAAGGCCCTGGGGAAGGAGAGCGGTGGTGTTAACAGAGCCCCAGAGGTGGGCCCTTGAACTTCAGTGGCCTGGACTCTGAGGCCAATGTTTGAGGAGGGATGGAAGGGTGAACAGGGTGCAGGAACGAGTGCTTCCGGCAGGGGGCGTGCAGGGCTCTGCAAGGGTGAAGACCTGCTTGCGTGGGCTCCCCTGGTGGCTCAGATGGTAAAGAATCTGCCCGCAATGCAGGAGACCCAGGTTCAACCCCTGGATCTGGAAGATCCCCTGGAGAAGGAAATGGCAGCCCATTCCAGTGTTCTTGCTTGGAGAATGTCATGGGCAGAGGATCTTGGTGGGCTATGGTCCATGGGATCACAGAGTCGGACAGGACTGAATGACTAACGCCTTGGTCCTTCTTCCTTTCCTTCTCCCCTCCCCCTGTAGACCACTTCCTTCTCCACCTGCCTCTCCCCACTTCCTTTCTCCTGGCTGACTTCTTCCCTCTCTTCTTCTCATCACTTTTGGGAGCTCTGACCCAAGGGTATTCACCGCCTTCCACTTTTTGCCTTGGTCAGACCCTCGCCTTGGGCTCTAGGAGCTGCCTCCTCCAGGTAGCCCTCCAGAATGACTGGAGCCTCCCAAGTCTCTGTCTCTTCATGCCCCTGCAGGCCTTGTGCTGCTGTGAAGTGAAGAGCTCCCAGCTGTGTTCTTTCACGTGCTTTTCCCTTTCCCTTTCTCACCTGCAGCTGGGCTGAGAGGGCTGGGTCTGACGTGGAGCCACTCTCAAGCAGAGATGGTCCAACTGACTGAATTCATCCAGTAGGTATTTAGTGAGCACCTACTATATGCCAGGCCTGGGAACACAAAGGTGAACAAGACACAGGGCTGCCCCTCACATCAACCTTACCTTTTAGAGCAGAGGTTGAAAACTCAAATGCACGTGATGGGCCTGGGGTGTGAGGAAAGGAGGATGGGGAGGGCAGCTCATTGAACCTGAATACTGTTCCCTCTCAAGGAAGCAGCTAACGCTTGGCTCCAGCTGTCTGTTGCCTGAGGGGATATGGGCCCAGTGTCACCCATTTTACTGACTCTCAAGAGAATCATGCAATTTGAGCTTTTGTATGCTGGCTCTTTGGATTTTTTTTTTTTTTAATGCTGGCAAAGAATTTAAAAAGCAGCAATAACACTGTGTGTGTGTGTAAAACGAGACTTGTGTGTGGGCTGGATTTACCCAGGAGCTCCATTCATGCCCTCTGATTGAGGCAGTAAGAGCTGCTCATGGTTTCAGGCACCCCTTAGGGTGGAGACTGGAGACTCCAAGTCTCTTCTGCCCTCTCCGGTTCGTGATGACAAGGAGTGGGTCAGGGGGAGGGGAGCCTGGGGTGGACACCAGATCTGACCTGCACTGCCCCTCCTGCAGACTCAGGAGACAGAGCCCCGCTTATTCTTGCCCTGCAGGGAAGTCCTCTTTGGGGGTGGCTCTTTTCCGCCTGGTAGAACCAGCCGGTGGCCGCATCCTCATCGACGGCGTGGACATCTGCAGCCTTGGCCTGGAGGACCTGCGGTCCAAGTTCTCGGTTATCCCTCAAGATCCAGTCCTGCTGTCAGGGACCATCAGGTGAGCGCTGGGCTGAGGCAGCCTGTGCGGAGGACAGTCTCCCGCAGGAGTCACTGGGCGGATCCCTAGGGCTGGGCTACCTCTCATCACCTGTGGCCAGAGTCCCAATTTCTGGGCCTCTGCTCTCTCCTTGGTGAGAGGAGATGTCCCTGAGGAATGAATGAGGCCTGGATACACACGAGAACACTTTGTAATCAAAAGGCCTAAACAAAAGGCCTAAATTTTAATTTTTTATTTTTATTTATTTACTTATTTCTAATTTAATTTTTTAAAAACCCTGATGGGATTGGTCAGATTTCAGATGAGTATCAGTGTTTGCTCTGTGGTCGACCACATCTTTCCATGTCTGGATGTGGTTTATTCTCTTCTCTCTCCCACTGGATAAGGCCAACGGGAGTGTTTAAGCTGGATGTTTGCAATCCAGGCAGTCCCATCAGTGAGGCAGACAGAACTGGGTCTCTGACCTTCTCTCCACACTTTCTGTTTCCTCTGAAGGCAATCTGGAGATCATCCAGGTTAGTGCTGCTGCTTGACAGTGCTCCTTAGGCATGTGGGAGTCCAAGGTATGGGGTCTGCAGAAGGATGAGGCATGAAAATGAAGCTGGATGCCTCATATACAGGGCATTTATCTTAGAGGCAAGAGGATAGACTAACCACAGAGCTTTAGTTATCCATTTATTTATTTACCCATCATTCATTCATTCCTTCATTCATCTACTTAACCTGCCTTTTCTGAGCCTCTGCCAGGTCTGACATTGTGCTAGGGACTGGGGACACTTGGATGAATGATCAGCGCCCTTACTCCCCTCAGAAGTTCACAGTCAAGGGTGAGGGGAGTTGTAGACGTGTAAGATCTGTCAAGTTATAATATTAATACAAGGATGTAATTTGCTAGATCAGAGATATGAACCAAGTGCTAAGGGAACCTAGGAGTAGGACAAATAACTCTGCCTGGGGGAATTCAGAAAGCCTTCCCAGAGAAGTGGGGGAGGCCTTTGAGTAGGGTCTTGAAGGTTAAGTAGAAGGCTGCATGGCAGAAAAAGGGAGGAAAGTCTTTCCAAGGAGAGTGCATACTATGTGCACAGAGAGTTTTGTACCGATTGTGTTGTTTTAGAGGAATGAGATAAAATTTAGTGATAAATTTCTGTGTTAAGGTAGAAGTTGGCCAAAATCTATCATGCCTTGATATAGGAGTAGTAGAAATATGAATTAACATTTATTGAGCATTTAAATGTGCCAGCCCTATGCTTTAATATTCTGTGTCATTATAGTGTCAGAGCAACTCTGTGAGGTGGGCACTATTATTTTCTAAAAAATGAACTTAGGAAAGTGACTTATTGAAGGAGACACACACATAAATGGTAAAGATGAGATACAACTCCAGGTAGTTCAACGCCCTAAAGAGTGATGGTACCTCCCCTCCCCCCACCACTGCTTGCAGCAGAAAGTATGGACCGGTGTACAGGAGACTCCGGTGTACCCTACCGGTGTACAGGTAGGGCTCCCTACCTTTTGAGGTTCTGTCTAACTCTGAGTATCTTGATTCCAGCCTGTTTCTCTGACTTGTGGTATGAGCTTGAACAAGCTGCTTAACACTGATAAGCCATAATTTTCTCATCAATTAAAGAGATATATCTATCTCAAGAGGAAGAGGATGTCAATGATCGCATCTGTGAAAATGCTTTGGAAACTATCAAATATCATGCAAATAGGTCATTCTACCTTCTGCTTCTTCAATCTAGCTGTACACACAAAATGTATATTGAACTGGGGAAAGAAAAAGCAGCGGTTAAGAAAGGTTTCAATTGGGACTGAGTGGTTGCATAACAAGGATGTGTTTATTATGTTTCCTATGCCAAGTGCCAGGCAAACCTTAATGGGTATAAAGTCCAATTCGATCCAAATATGATGTTAGTTGCCTGGATGATCAGTTAGGATTCCTTCTCTGCAAGAGACATAAAAAACAACTGTACCACAATGAGATACCACCTTATACCTACTAGACTAGCAATAATAAGAAAAGAAAAAGGAACATAACAAGTGTTGGTAAGAATGTTGAGAAATTGGAACCCTCATGAACTATTGGTGGGAATGTAAAATAGCAAAGCCACTGTGGAAAACAATTTGGCAGCAAGAGAGTTCCAGAAAAACAGCTATTTCTGCTTTATTGACTATGCGAAAGCCTTTGACTGTGTGGATCACAATAAACTGTGGAAAATTCTGAAAGAGATGGGAATACTAGATCACCTGACCTGCCTCTTGAGAAATCTGTATGCAGGTCAGGAAGCAACAGTTAGAACTGGACATGGAATAACAGACTGGTTCCAAATAGGAAAAGGAGTACGTCAAGGCTGTAAATTGTCACCCTGCTTATTNGAAGAGCTGACTCATTTGAAAAGATTCTGATGCTGGGAAAGATTAAGGGCAGGAGGAGAAGAGGACGACAGAGGATGAGATGGTTGGAATCACTGACTCAATGGACATGGGTTTGGGTGGACTCCAAGAGTTGGTGATGGACAGGGAGGCCTGGCATGCTGTGGTTCATGGGGTTGCAAAGAGTCAGACACGACTGAGCGACTGAACTGACTGAACTGAGCTGAACTGACAAGAGTTAAATAGAGAATTATCATATGACCCATCAAATCATATGAAATAATTAAATTTGAAATAATTAAATTTCAAGAATCAAATCTACAGATTTGAAAGAATTATCACAGAAATGAAAGCAGGGCTTAACAGATATTTGTATACCAGTGCTTATGACCTTATTCACAATAGCCAAAAGGTAGTAACAATCCAAATGTCCATTGACAGATGAATGGATAAACAAAATGTGATCTATACAAACTGTGGTATATTATTCAATCAGAAACAAATGAAAAATTGATATATGATACAACATGGATGGATCTTGAAAGCATTATGCTAAGTGAAGCAAGCCAGATGCAGGATGCTTCAGTTATGTCCTACCCTTTGTGACCCTGTGGACTGTAGCCTGCCAGGCTCCTCTCTCTGTGGGATTCTCCAGGCAAGAATACTGGAGTGGGTTGCTGTGCCCTCCTCCAGTGGATCTTTCCCAACCCGTGGGATTGAATTGAGTCTATTATTTCTACCTGTATTGGCAGGCGGGTTCTTTACCACTAATGCCACCTGGGAAGCTCCAAATATTGTATATTTCCACTTGAGTGAGATACCAGGAATAGGCAAATTTGTAGAACAGAAAGTAGAAAAGAGATTACAAGGGGCTAAGGGAGGAAGGGGAGGGAGAACATTTAATCAGCAGAGTTTTTATTGGTGTTGATGAGTTTTAGTGGATTGTTACATGACATTGTAAACGTATTGAACACCACTTAATTCTACAATTACAGTTAAAGTGATAAATATTATGTTATGTATATGCTAACACACACAGAGATGCACACACACACCCCAGATGGCTTAAGCTAAAAGAACCTCCGGGATCACAAAACAGGAAGGCCAAGGTTGATTCAAAGGACCAATATCCCCTTCTGTCTGTCTTGGCTTCATCGTTGGGCTCCACTGTGGGCCATGGGGCCTTCATGTCTCCTCTTTCTGAGGCAAGATGGTTGTAGCCTCACTTGTTCAGTTGGTGAGAAAGTACAAGCCCCTTTTCTGGTGATTGTTGTCCAAGTCCTGAGATACACTCTGACTGGTTACCTTCCCCAACCTTCAGCCAATTTCTGCGGCCAGGGGTTACCACCTTCTGGTGTGCTTACACCCGAGTCTTTGCTCCACCCTGAGCTGGTAGAGCCCCACTTGGGCCACACAGGCTTGATGGCTAGGAAGGAGGCGGCCCCCAAACAAGACTTGGGAGCTGCTGCCTGCAGAAGGAAGGGGTACTGGGAAGGCACAAGGAAGACCACTGGTGGGAGTTTGATGAGTTTCTTTGGATCCAATAATCCGGCTCTAACCATCCTGACTACCCTGGTGGTTCAGATGGCAAAAAGTCTGCCTGCAATGCAGTACACCTGGGTCCAACCCCTGGGTCTGGAAGATCCCCTGAAGAAGGAAATGGCAACCTACTCCAGTATCCTAGACTGGAAATTCCATGGACAGAGGAGCCTGGTGGTCTTACAGGCCATGGGGTCCCAAAGAGCTGGACACGACTGAGCGAGTTTCATTTACCCAACCATCCTCAGTCACGTGCTCTGTGGGGTGCAGATGACTCAATTGTCAAGTGTGCTTCTTGAACACTTCTCTTCCTCTCCCGAGACAGGTTCAACCTGGACCCCTTTGACCGCTGCACAGATGAGCAGATCTGGGATGCCTTGGAGAGGACGTTCCTGAACAAGATGGTGAGTAAGTGTGAGGCTGAATTCTCGGTCCTGCTGGTCCTTGGGGCTCCTTTGGTGTGGTATGCCAGATGTTGCGTGGATTAAATCATCTCACAGAGATGAGGTGGTTTGAGATCGCTAGATAAAGGCTGATGATGCCAGTAGTAAGCCAGGCATGTACCAGCTCAGGGCAAGCGGGTACAGCTTTGTCGTTCTGGTGCTTACTCTCAGGAGAGACTCAGATGGGACAAGTGCTGTGTAGGTAGTGATGAGAACTGCAGACACCGCAGTGGGTGGCCAGCCAGGGCCTCTGTAGAGACGCACATTTGACAGAGCAAATGCTGAGGGGGCAGCTGGGCACCGATCTTTGAGAGAACATTCCAGGTATAAAAACTAGCAGGTGCAAAGACCTTGTGAGGGGAACTGGATGGGCAGAGCTGGGGATGAGAAAGACCAGTGTCTGGAGCGTAGAGACAGGGGCAGGGAGGGAGTGTCATGACAGGACAGGAGAGGAACGAGGGGGTCAGTTTTAGAACTCATCCCACAGTGGCCCACGGGTGTCTTCCTCCATATCACAGATCTCAAAGTTGCCGCAAGGCCTGCAAGCAGAAGTTTTGGAAAATGGCTCGAACTTCTCTGTGGGGGAGCGGCAGCTGCTCTGCATTGCCCGGGCCCTCCTCCGCAGTGCCAAGGTGAGAGCTGGGGGCATGTGAGGGGTCTGGGGGATGCCTGGCTTGGGAAACACACCGCTGTTTCTCCTTCAGGCATGTGGGACTCGGGGCACTGCCCTGGGTTCTGTCCACAAATCCACAAAGGGCTTGATGGTCACTTTCTGCCATTCTGGGCAACCCTGCCTGTAGAAGGGGGGCTTCTCTGCCCAGGTGCTCTGCACCCTGGCACCCCAACCTAGACTTGAAACGTCCCTGCCACAACCAAGCCCCAGTGCACTCCTGCACAAAGCCACAAGGCTAGAGATACAGTCACTCAAAGTCGCCTACTGTGCTTTCCTGTTAAAACTTGGGTGCAGGATATTCCCTCATCTTTATTAGATTTGAGAATCAGATGACACCTGTTCTGGACCAAAATAACATTTTTTTTAAAAAAGTTTCATCCAACAGTGTTTCTTCAGTTCAGTTCAGTTCAGTCGCTCAGTCACGTCTGACTCTGTGACCCCATGGACTGCAGCATGCCAGGCCTCCCTGTCCATCACCAACTCCTGGAGTTTACTCAAGCTCATCTCCATTGAGTCAGTGATGCCATCCAACCATCTCATCCTCTGTCATCTCCTCCTCCTCCCACCTTCAATCTTTCCCAGCATCAGGGTCTTTTCAAATGAGTTAACTCTTCACATCAGGTGGCCAAAGTATTGGAGTTTCAGCTTCAGCATCAGTCCTTCCAATGAATATCCAGGACTGATCTCCTTTAGGATGGACTGGTTGGATCTCCTTGCAGTCCAAGGGACTCTCAAGGCTCTTCTCCAACACCACAGTTCAAAAGTATCAATTCTTCAGTGCTCAGCTTTCTTTATAGTGCAACTCTCACATCCGTACATGATTACTGGAAAAACCATACATAACCTTGACTAGATGGACCTTTGTTAGCTTAAAATTTTCCAAATATTACAGGTATTACAGGGGCTACTTAGGAGCCATCTTTCCCTCACAGGTGAGGCTATGTACACACATACATACACACACCTCCACACTCACACATGTGTACATGCTTGCACACACACGCATATGCAATACACAACATGGCCAGTTAATGAGCAGTGCAAAAATTGTTGGTGCGACAGTCAGAGCTGTGGGGAAGAGCAGACAGAGCTCGACGGGGCCTGGAGCAGGGAGGTTTCAGAGGAGGAAAGACTTTCCCCTCTTGCTAAGAGAGAGGGGTGACAGGACTGGCAATGTGTACGTAGCGTTTTCTTAACCTCTCGGTTCCTTATTTCAGTTACTTAGCCACTTGGTGTGAAGGCTGCTTTCTCTAGATTGTTTTCTAAGTTTGTGTCATCACTTTATGATTTTTGTCATATCTCTGTACCACCTATCCCGTGATTTACTTGTGATGCCTTGTCTTGTGCAGGAGCAAAAATCACACTTTCTATGCCAATGAAATTCTTCCAATGCATTTTTTAAAAACTTTTTAATTTTGTGTTGGGGTATAGCTGATTAACAATGTTATGATAGTTTCAGGAGAATAGCAAAGGGATTCAATTATACGTATACATATATCTATTCTCCCCCAAACTCCCCTCCCATCCAGGCTCATAACATTGAGCAGAGTTCCTTTTGCTACACAATAGGACCTTGTTGTTTATCCATTTTAAATATAGCCGTGTGTACATGTCTATCCCCAGCCCTCTAACTATCCCTTCTCCCCTTTCTTCCTCCCCCTGAAACCAAAAGTTTGTTCTCTAAGTCTGCTAGTGTCTTTCTATTCTGTAAGTTCTTTTGTATCATTTCTTTTTAGATTCCACATATAAGGGGTGTCATATTTCTCCTTCTCTTTCTTACTTCACTCAGTATGACAATGCCCAGGGCCATCCATGTTGCAGCAAATGGCATCTGATGCATATTGTTAATGAAAGAAATACAAACATGTTAAAGTACAAAGTGCATTTACCCACATGCTAGCTACACCATCTCTTCTGCCACCCAGGATGTGTGCTTGCCTGTCCTGAGAGGAACATTGCCCTACCTTAATTCAGACAAACAGGAAGGCAGTTCATAACGCAGGAGGTTGCCACTGGCACATTTTCACTTTCAAGAAGTTAATTTTCTGGTCACTAAAGAAGGCGTCCCTGGTAGTTCAGATTGTAAAGAATCTTCCTGCAATGCAGGAGACCTGGGTTGGGAAGATCCCCTGGAGAAGGAAATGGCAACCCACTCCAGTATTCTTGCCTGGAGAATCCCATGGACAGAGGAGCCTGACCGGCTGCAGTCCATGGGGTCGCAAAGAGTCAGACACAGCTAAGCTACTAACAGACACAAAGTATAGTTAGCTCTTGGTTGAGACTTAACATTCTCTTCATAATGTGATGGATAACTTAGAGCTCCAAGTGGGTTTCGAACCGAGTCCAAAGATCTCTTTTTCCAGCTGAGGTACTAGGCAGACTAGCAGTCACCCCAAGACTAGACCCAGGGTTGAGTCTGAGGAGGCTGCCTTCACCCCTGTTTCTTATCCACCAGATCATCCTTATTGATGAGGCCACAGCCTCCCTCGACTTGGAGACGGATATCCTCATCCAGCACACAATCCGTGAAAGTTTCCGGGGCTGCACAGTGCTAATCATCGCACACCGTGTCGCCACCATCCTCAACTGCGACCGCATCCTGGTCATGGGCGACGGGAAGGTGAGGGGACACCCCCAGGCTGCTGGGAGGATGGCGCCCAGGCCTTCGGATCCCTCAGGACCAAGCTCAGCTGCACCCCGCTTCCCTCCCCTTCTCTCTCCGCCTCCCAGGTGGTGGAGTTTGACAAGCCTGAGGTCCTGCAGAAGAAGCCGGGGTCCATGTTCGCAGCCCTGCTGGCAACAGCCAGCACTTCGATGAGCTGAGGAGGAGAGGCTGCCTGGAGGCGGGTGTGGCTGAGCCAGCCAAGGTGCAGTGGTTGGAGCCCGAGGGGAGACTGCAGCCTGCAGCCTCCCCTGCAGAGACGGCTGCTTCTCCGCAAGGCAGGGCTGGAACGTGCTCGAAGCGCTGGTGATGGGCAGGAAAATGACATTGAGGGAGCACAGCCTGGAGTAGGGCCCTTGCTGGCTCCCCTGGAGACCATGTAGGAATTTCATAATAATGGTAAAGCTTATTACAATTTTCTGATCGGTGTTAAGAGTGTTGCAAGTGGTATACTGATTTTGTGAAAAAGAAAAAGTCACATTCTCAGTTCTGCTTTCTCTGTGAGCTGGTACTCATTTAGCTACAGGGAACAGAAACGTTCTTAAGCTTTCTGGTAAAAGGGACGTTATTAGCTCATGTAATAGAAAGTTGCAGAAAAAGCTCTGGGTTGAATGCCGTGTCAAAAGGACGTCTGCCGTGCGGGCTCTGCCTTTCTTCACTCAGCCTCACTTTGGTTTGTTTGACTTCACTCTCTGGCCTTCTCTCCTCACGGCACAGCATGGCTGCCAGCAGCTCAAGGCTCACATCCCACCAGCTCCATACTCCCCGTCCTTTCTCCAGGGATTCCAGCAAAACTCCGGGGCTAAATCTCACTGGGCCAACTTGAGTCTTGTGCTCAGCGCTGAGCTAGTTGCGTGTTGGGCTGCTGGAATGCAGTGAGGGGCCGGGCCCAAACTGTATGCCCACACCCGGGCCTGGGGATGGGATCAGCTACCCTGAATCACATAAAAGGAGAATGGAGAGGATTGTTTCCCCAAAATAAAACTGGAGTGTTATTACTACATTAGGAAAGAGTGGGCAGCCCCCAAACAGTAGCTGTGTACCATGCGCTTGTTTACTAATTGGAGCATAGATAGGTGAAATAAAGAGTTAACTTATTATTAATACATATGCCAACCGGAAATACGATCATTTGTGGCCTCTGCACCTCTAATGGTTATAGATATATATAAATAGAAAAGGTAATTATTTTCAGTTTACTTCTAGGAAGACCTCATTGTTTGAGTAGAATATGTTTCAAAGTACTTTCCTTTTGTTTTCAGATTAGTGTCTGATTCTGCCCTAAGAAAGATCAATTCAGTAAATGAGGATTTCTTACTCTGTTGCACTGGGGTGGATGCTGGGGATGTAGTGATGTCCCCAACCTCATGGAATTTGCCCTCCAGAGAGTAAGTAGTGAGTGAAAGTCGCTCAGTTGTGTCTGACTCTTTGTGATCCCATGGACTATACAGTCCATGGAATTCTCCAGGCCAGAATACTGGAGTAGGGTAGCAGTTCCCTTCTTCAGGGAAATCTGCCTAACCCAGGTATCGAACACAGGTCTCCCACTTTGCAGATGGATTCTTTACCAGCTGAGCCATCAGGGAAACCCTCCCAGAGATAAAGTAGTAAGCAAGGAAACAGGAGGCTCTAAAAGCAAGTGACAGGAGGCAAGGGCAGGGTTCAGGAGATGGAGGCGGTCGGAGCAAGCTTCCTGGTGGAAGGGATGAGACCAGAAAAATGGACAAAGGTTTGCTCAGATGAAGGGGACTGGGGTAAGGAAGACTGTGCCAGGCGGAGAGAAAAGCAAGCAAACCCCTGTGGGAATGAACTGTGGCAGGGCTGATTCAATCGCTGGACCAGGAGCTGGTGCCACGTATGCATCTCCTCTGGGCCTCCTGGTTCTTCGGCAAAACCCGCTTCTCTCCTGAGATTGTTTCCCAGGCGGACGTCTTCTCTCTCTTAAAAACCCTTTTGTTGAGTGGGTCCTCTTCCCCTCCATCCTTGCTTTCTCCTCCTGGGGCCGTGAAGAGCGGCCGCTCCTGCTCCCAGCCTGGCACAGCTCTGCACGGTCGCAGAGATGCTCGTCGGCAGGCGGAGGATCACCCTCCTCGCTCGGCGCCGCCATCTCCCAGAGCTGCCGCGGGGCAGCCGCCTGGGGCACGTGTGGGAGGGCGCTCCACACTCTCGGTGCTGCTGCCCCAGGCCCGACTCCCGGGTCCTTCCCCAGGTCAAAGCTAGCTGCCTGTTTTCCTTCAGTTGGCCAGCAGATGGCAGACTCTTCCCAAAAATGCGGGGACGGTCCCGCGGGTTCCAGGTCTAGAGCCCCTGAGAACCACTGTTGACCCTTTAGTCAGAGGACAAGGACCAGAGCCTGTTTCCACCTGGTCTTCAGGGCCTCATCTCACCTCTCTTCACTGCAGCTTCTCTTCAGGGCGGGTTCTCAGCCTTCCCAGCACACTGGAGTCACCCAAGGTGCTTAAAATATCCTGATGGAGGTCCACCCCTAGGTGTTTTGATTTCATTGGTTTGTGGTAGAGAGTGTACATTGGGATTTTTAAAGCGGTAAGTGAATCTAATATGCAGCAGAAATTGAGAACCATTGGCTCCAAACAACAATAAAGCAAAGCTGTTTGAAAAACTAATATATGGTGTTCTGTTTTGTTTTATTTTTTTAAAAAACAATATTGGTAATATTTTATTCCTTAAGTTGAATGATGAATATGAGTTTGTTTTAATTCTTTATATATTTGGGGGCTATCTGAACTATATTGTAATATAATTTTAAAAATTGAAAAAAAATGAAAAAAAATTTGGCTGCACTGGGTCTTCGTTGCAGCGCACAGGCTTCTCTAGTTGCAATGCATGGACTTAGTTGCCCCATGGCATGTGGGATTTTAGTTCCCTGACCAGGGATCGAACCCACATTCTCTGCATTGAAAGGTGAATTCTTAATCATTGGACCACCAGGGAAGTCCCCCCCAAAAACTGATATTTCAAAAACAACCTAAAAATAATCATAATGAGAGAATGTACTGCTACTTCCTCATATTTACTTGGTGCTGTACTCAGTACTCAGTCGTGTCTGACTCTTTGCGGCTCCACGGACTGTAGCCTTCCAGGCTCCTCGGTCCATGGGATTCTCCAGGCAAGGGTACTGGGGTGGGTTGCCATGCCCTCCTCCAGTGGATCTTCCCAACCCAGGGATCTAACCCAGGTCTCCCGCGCCTTGCAGGCGCATTCCTTACCATCTGGGTCACTAGGGAAGCCCATATTTTCTCAGTGGTTTGCCATTATTTGTGTTTTCAATTACCTTCCTGTGGGGATGGAAGAGTATTTTTAGTGTTCAGGGATCTAAAGGCCTCCATCCGCCCTCAGAGCCTAGGCCCCCTCCTGGTTGAGTGCTGTGGACAAACTTCAACATAAACTATGTGATGTGGATGTGGTCACAGAAACAACCAGCAGATGTACAGATCAAAGGAGACAGTGGTCCACCTGGCCCTGCCCTGCCCTCTGTCTCTAGCTCTGGACACTATTTTAAGACACAGCTAAATGGAGACTTTTCGAAGGGTGACCGCTAGGTGACCTGAGCTGTGTTGTGAGATGCACCAGGAAGGAAGAAGGAGTCTTCACTTTCCCTAAGGGCTTCCTCTAGAAACAGCTCTGGAGGGCAGCCCCAGGTCCCCAGGAACAAGCATTCTTCAACTGGAAAGGTCGGGCTAGGAGCTCCCCCTGGCTGAAAGCCTTTTCTAATTCAGGCAGTTCTCCCCGGTGTAGGGCAAAGGGCACTGCCGATATTTTCAGGCTCAGAGAGGGTTCCCACAAGACTGAGTGTGGGCAGGGATTCTGTGTGCATGGGAAATCAGATTGGATAATTTCTAGGGCGTATATAACTCCGGGATGCAATGGTGAACTCCGGGATTGCAATGCCAATGGCAGGAGTTCTTTAGCCTGTAGGGCTAAAGCAAACCTTGCCAGGGCCCCTACCCAGACACACTTTCTGATTCAGGAGGTCTGGGGTGGGGCTCAAGAATTTGCCTTTCTAACAAGTTCCCAGATGTTGCTGATGCCAGACCCTGCACCATACTCAGAATTCAGGGGTTAGCAAGATGACTCTATCATGTATGGGCTAGACTGCAAAGGTTCAAACCCTTGTTCCAATGTGTTCTTCAAAGTTTCCCAAAGTCCACTTCTGGGGCACTTTTATTTCTATGACCTCTTTTGGTTCAGACTCCAGAGTCATCCACTTGGACCATGCAGACACTCGCTTCCTCCATCACACAGACTCAGAAGGAGAAGTCAGCACTTTTTCTTAAATTCCTTATTCCCTCTGTACGTATGAAAGTGACAGTGACAGTCGCTCAGTGATACAGAGGACTTCAGTGAAGTCTGGGCTGGGGGGCGTTTCTGTGCTAGTTCCCTTCATACTGCTCACCGCACCCTCTGAGTTCTCTCTGCCTCCACTTCCCGAGCCCTAACCCGTGCCACTCACAACTGTTCATCTCTCTCTGTTGATGACTTTTCCTGCTGGGCGAGTCATCGGGGCCGTATAGTTTACCTCAAGAGACCGGTCAAGGCAGTTCTTTAAACAAACAAGCCAACAAAAACCAGTTTCCACCCTATGATAGGTGCCAGCTCTTAAGACAGTAACATTTCACCCTCATTAACCTAAATGTCGTAGTCTATCCAACTCTGTGGAATCCAACTATGGCAGAGTCAGAAGCAGCTTCAGACATTGTCAGTTCAGATGTTCTTAGCCTGTAGTCCATGGACTGCTTAGCCAGACTCAGGGGAGCCATCAATTTGAATGGGAAAAAAATTGTTTTGTTTTTGTTTTTACTAACAGAAATTTCCACTGATTATGAATGAGACAACAAACTATAATAGTATTAGTACTACCTGTGACTTTGTCCTCAATAGAAATCATCAGTATTCTCAAATCTCACTTCAGTTGTTTTAGATGTCTCAAAATATCATTTATTTTATTTTATTATGTATTTATTTAGCTGTGCTGGGTCTTAGTTGCGGCACATGGGATCTTAGTTGCAGCATGTGGGATCTTGTTCCCTGACCAGGGATCGAACCCAGCCCCCTGCACTGGGAGTGTGGAGTCTTAGCCACTGGACCACCAGGGAAGTCTCACAAAATATCATTTATATGCACCACTGCTTTGAAATTATAGTAGTTATTTACTGTATCAGTAGAGAAGCACACATATGACAATATCTGATTTTACTTTTTACTTATTGTTTTGCTAACTATGTATCAGTGTAATTGATTTTCTTCCCACTCCTGTGTAGTTTATTTTATGCATTAGAAACTCGATTCTGAATGTCAAAGAGATCCATGGCACAAAAAAGATTAAGAACCTTTGTTTATTACCATTCTTGATTTTACAGAGGGAAGCTGAGTCCCAGACAGAGGCTTCTTACCCACAACTATACCACTGGCTTTTAACTGGCTGGCTTGGGACTTGACTCTAAAACAGGGAGGAATAAGAAGGGGCAGGAGAGGGGACTTCCCTGGTGGCCTAGTGGTTAAGACTCTGGGCTCCCAATGCAGGGGGCGTGGTTTTGATCCCTGGTAAGAGAACTAAGATCCTGCATGCTATGCAATGTGGCCAAAAATTAAAAATAAAACAAACAAAATAAAATTAGATTGTAAAAAAAAAAGAAAGGGCAAGAGGGTAGCAAGGGCTGGGGAGAAAGGCCTCACCCAATACTGTGCTCAGGCAAGGCTTGCTCAGAGCAGGGAGTGATCCCCAAACACAAACTCTCATGTTGCTGCTTGGCTGACCCTTCCCTAGTTCCTGCGGCTGTTGCAAGAGCTCCAAGCAGTCACAGGGCAAAACCATTTCTCATTACAGCAAAGAGGAGTACAATTTTCCCACTTAATATTGATGCTTCCTGGCCAGTCCTTGGTTCCCAAATGCTTTGTCATCTGTGTTGTACTCTAGCAACAGCTGATTGATTCAGGACCTTCTGTTCCAACAGGACAGTCCCAGTCCCACTCGCGGAGAAGGCAATGGCTCCCCACTCCAGTGTTCTTCCCTGGAGAATCTCAGGAATGGGGGAGCCCGGTGGGCTGCTGTCTATGGGGTTGCACAGAGTCAGACACGACTGAAGCGAC